CATTAAATCTGGTTTTCAATGCATTGATTAAAACTGACCAAGGTTATAAAAGGAGGTAAATCATTTCCTGACGAGAGCCTCCAATATAAACAAAGAGTATATTCCACACAGGCTGTCATTAGCAGTGGCGTAATCCTCATTTCCAAGGCTCAATTCTCTCATGACTTTCCTCCTGATTCCAAAAAAGCAAAGAGGACTATGGGAGGTGCCCAGGCCATGAAAAAGACAAAATGGCACCACACAAAGCCCTCATCGGACATTCTTCTAGACCAGTATGGCTTATAAAAACACCTCATATCACATTCAGTCTTTGCATACTGATTAAGCAACAGTGGTCTCAGGATTTCCTCAATAGTTGACTTGATAAAGCTTCCCAAAATGGCATAACTGATGCTACTAAATGTTAATTTAGAATAATGCAGAAATAAGTGAAGTTTATTTCCCCTCGAGGTTTACTTTTTAAATGTTAAGTCTAGTGAGAGCAAAATAATATATGATTTGTATATGTGGGCAGTTTAATGTCCACCCAAATTTATGTTATGAGTATGCATGTTTGGTAAAGGTTACATTTAGAAAAGTGTGGTGTCAAAATAAATTAATCTTCAGAAAATCTTGCATATTTTTCTAAAATCATCAGCTTGAGATAATGTTGGGGGCAACTACTGAATGTTTTCCTACAAGGGTAACCATGAAAAATGACAAAAAGCAAGGTTGAATATCCTAAATCACCTGCAAGTAAGTAAAGACAAGGTCAATATTAACACAGAAAGAGATGTCAAAAGAAGCAATTGTTTTTCCTTTTTTCTTTTTGGTCTCCTGTTCCCAGATTCAAGTGATCCTCCTGCCTCAGCCTCCCGAGTACCTGGGACTACATGTGTGTGCCCCCCCTACACCCAGCTAATTTTTGTATTTTTGGTAGAGATGGGGTTTTGCCACATTGTCCAGGCTGCTCTCAAACTCTGGGCTCAAGCAACCCTCCCTTCTCACCTTCCCAAAGTAGTGGGATTACAGGCATGAGTCACTGCACCCGGTCCAGAAAACTCACTTTACTTACTTACTTACTTATGTATTTATTTTTGAGATGGAGTCTCACTCTTGTTGCCCAGGCTGGAATGCAGTGGCACGATCTCAGCTCACTGCAACCTCTGCCTCCTGGGTTCAAGCAATTCTCCTGCCTCAGCCTCCCCAGTAGCTGGGAATACAGACACCGTCACCATGCCCAGCTAATTTTTGAATTTTTAGTACAGACTGGGTTTCGCCATGTTGGCCAGGCTGGTCTCGAACTCCTGACCTCAGGTGATCCGCCTACCTCGGCCTCCCAAAGTGCTGGAATTACAGACATGGGCCAACGCATCTGGCCATAAAACCTGCTTTCTAAGTGGGTTAAGAATGAATGCCTATACTTAACCAAGTTATTCCAATAAATAATAATAATAACAGGCCAAGTATGGTGGCTCACGCCTGTAATCCCAGCACTTTGGGAGGCCGAGGCAGGTGGATCACCTGAGGTCAGGAGTGTGAGACCAGCCTCGCCAACATGGTGAAACCCTGTCTCTACTAAAAATACAAAAATTAGCAGGGTGTGGTGGTGCAAGCCTGTAGTCCCAGCTACTCGGGAGGCTGAGGCAGAAGAATCACCTGAACCTAGGAGGTAGAGGTTGCAGTGAGCTGAGATCGCACCACTGCACTACAGCCTGGATGACAGAGTGAGACTCTGTCTCACAAAAAAAAAAAAAAAAAAAAGAGTAATAAAAACAGTTCTTATTTTATTTCAAATCTTGCAGGAATATTTTTCCTTCAGTGATGAAGAAAATATTCTTTCTTTACAGATTGGAAAAAAATAGACCAAAAAATCACAGAAGGATTCCCGAATCCCACCTCCTATTCAACTATTCTTGGTATGCATCTAGGTTTTGGCAAAAAAAAACTGAATGGACAGATTTCCCAATTTAAAATAAAGCTATGTATTTTCTGTCTAGTTCTTTTCGGTAATAGTCCTGCACAGTATTAGCAATATTAGATTGATCAACAAATACAGAAAGTCTCAGTTAGCATTTTTTTTCCTTTTCTTTGAGAGGGAGTCTCACTCTGTTGCCCAGGCTGGAGTGCAGTGGTGTGATCTTGGCTCACTGCAGCTTCCGCCTCCTGGTTTCAAGCGATTCTCCTGCCTCAGCCTCCCAAGTAGCTGGGAATACTTTTAGTACTGTACTTTTAATACAGACTGGGTTTCACCATGCTGGCCAGGCTAGTCTCGAACTCCTGACCTCAAGTGATCTGCCCGCCTTGGTCTCCCAAAGTGCTGGGATTACAGGCGTGAGCCACCATACCCAGCCAGCTAAGTTTTTAAATCAAAGTTTATTTTGATTGCTCTGAATGTTGGTCACACACATGACTGATAAACTAGATGCAGCCCACATCTAACCCAGTTTGTATCCAACATCTGATTTTATAAGGAGCTGACCTTAGTGGAGAAGCAGGATCACTGTTTTAATATTTACACTGTGTAAATATTTACAAATGACTACTCAGGAGACTGAGGTGGAAGGATCACTTGAGATCAGGAGGTGGAGGCTGCAGTGAGCTGAGATCATGCCACTGTGCTCCAGCCTGGGCAAAAGAGCAAGACCCTGCCTCAAAATAATAATAATAATAATGATAATAATAATACAAATGAGTCAACATCTCTCAGTTGAAAAATGCTGCAGAACAATAACTTTAACATCAAGTACATAAAAACGTAAGGAACAATCATAATCAGACCTATATTTAGCTGGCCACGGTGGTTCACACCTGTAATCCCAGCACTTTGGGAGGCTGAGGCAGACAGATAACCTGAGGTAGGGAGTTCGAGAGCAGCCTATTCAGAATGGTGAAACCCCATCTCTACTAAAAATATAAAAATTAGCCAGGTGTGGTGGTATATGCCTGTAGTTCCAGCTACTCCAGAGGCTGCGGCAGGATTGCTTGAACCCAGGGGGCAGATATTGCAGTGAGCTGAGATTGTGCCACTGCACTCCACACTCCAGCCTGGGTGACACAGTGAGACTCCATCTCAAAAAAAAAAAAAAAAAAAACCAAAAAACTATACTTAACATCACCTGTGGGTTCCATGATCTATGGCATAGGCTACATTTCCAAAGACAAACACTGCCCCCAAAAATAAAAGAGCTAAGAAAATCATGTTTTACTCTTAAGGAACTAGAAACAGCAAGGACTTGTGGTTAGCAGAATTAATTTTCCACACAGAAAAATTCGCCTTAATTTCCAATATACACTATACTGTTACTGAGTTCAATGTATATGAAAGACATATACATTTATCTCTGAACTTTCACAGAAAACAAGAAAAAAGATTTAAAAAAAATTAGAAGGCATAATATGCTAAAATTCACAAACTCAGACAACAACTCAGCACCTCAGGAATCCAGATGTTTAGAACTGACATGGGTGTCTGCAGCACGCCACCAAAGCACAAGCATTTATATAGACATCTGAAGGAGACAGTACAGTATTCTTACCCAGCAAAGCAATGATAGGACTGTTAACAACTGCACAGAATGTAAGGAAATGATGTAACCAACACAACACTGAAATAGTGATTTCTTTTGGTGTTAGTGATAGTCATGGGCTGCCTTGTTCTATGTCTGGCTTGCGCAGAACCTCTAGAACAAACCCTGCCTTAGAGCTCAGGGAGAGATGATGCTTTAGGGTTCTGGCACAGAACCAAACTGTAGTCTGCTCAAGGATCACATCCTTAACTTCAATCTCAGCTTTGCTAAGCAAGCACAAAACACACTTTGAAGTAACAACCTTGAGATTGTTTAAACATGGTCTGAACTTAAGACTTCTCCCTAAATCACTCTAACTGCTTACAACAATGAGGATACAAGAGCAAGCCTTTACTTCATTAAGTCCATTCAGATGAGGGCTCAGGATGTAATTGCAATCAAAACTTCACGGATTCCTTTTTTTTTTTTTCTTTTTGAGATGGGGTCTCACTCTGTCACCCAAGGCAGGAGTGCAGTGGTGCGATCACGGTTCACTGCAACTTCTACCTCCTGGGTTCAATCTATTGTCCTGCCTCAGCCTCCCAAGTAGCTGGGATTACAGGTGCCTGCCACCATACCCAGCTAGTTTTTGTATTTTCAGTAGAGACAGGGTTTCACCACATTCGCCAGGCTGGTCTCAAATTCCTGGCCTCAAGTGATCCGCGAACCTTGGCCTCCCAAACTGCTGGGATTACAGGCATGAGCCACAGCGCCCAGGCCAAAACTTCATGGATTTCTTAAAAATCATTTATAGAACCAACACCTTCTTAGACACAATATTATTCAATCAGATAATAATGCAAGCATAAATAATAATCTCACCTGTCAAATTTGTTAGGGGTTGGGTGGAACCATACATAAACATCTACTTCATAGGAAACTTTTTTTTTTTTTTTTGAGACAGAGTTTTGCTCTGTTGCCCAGGCTGGAGTGCAGCGGCGCAATCTCAGCTCACTGCAACCTCTACCTCCTGGGTTGAAGCAATTCTCCCACCTCAGCCTCCCAAGGATTACAGGCACCTGCCACCACACCTGGCTAATTTTTGTATTTTTAATAGAGACAAGGTTTCACCATACGGCCAGGTTGGCCTCGAACTCCTGACCTCAAGTGATCTGCCCACCTCAACCTCCCAAAGTGCTGGGATTACAGGCGTGAGCCACCGCGCCCAGTCCCTCACAGAAAATTTAAATGCCAGAACTACCAGTTCTTTTCCTTGGAAGAGATGCAGTACATCTAGCAATGTTCTCTCTTTTTTTTTAAGCCTATATTTTTAATACATTTGTTCCCCAAAAGGTCAATTTCTGCTTTCAAAAAACATCTGAGTCACTCGAGATGAAAAATATTTTATCTAAAAATGTGCTATAGCTCCCAATAACTCCAAACTGACATCCCAAAATATGAGGCTGTTCGACAATGACAGAACTTGGGAACTGGAACTCTCTGATTACTTACTTATTAAAAAAAGGTTCAATGAGTTTTGATCTGGCAGACACATGAATTTTTGGAGGGCTGAGAAAAGAACCTAATGAAGAAAAGAGAGGCATTATTATTATTCATAGTCACATAGACAACGCCTGAAAGTTCAGACCAAAACATATTTAAATTAACAGCATGGTTCAACAAAGGTGAGAGGTATTCTCTTTTTTTTTTTTTGAGTCGGAGTTTCACTCTTGTTGCCCAGGCTGGAGTGCAATGGCGTGATCTCGGCTCACTGCAACTTCCGCCTCCCGGGTTCAAGTGATTCTCCTGCCTCAGCCTCCTGAGTACCAAGGATTACAGACATGCGCCACCATGCCCGGCTAATTTTGTATTTTTAGTGAAGACAGGGTTTCTCCACATTGGTCACATTGGTCTCAAACTCCTAACCTCAGGTGATCCACCCACCTATGCTGGTCTCAAACTCCTAACCTCAGGTGATCCACCCACCTCGGCTTCCCAAAGTGCTGGGATTACAGGCATGAGCCGCCGCACCTGGCCCGTGAAAGGTGTTCTTATGGACCAAGTACCGTACCACAGGAAGTGTCAGTGGTTTTTCTTGCAGATTTCCCCCTCCCCTCATCTCCTCCCACTCCTACCTCAAAACCCTCCCACTTCTAACTGGGTGAGTGGATCCCAAGGAAATGGTAGTGCTATAGGTTCAATGTTTGTGTCCCCCTAAAATGCATATGTTGAAGCCTAATCCCCAATATGATGGTGTTTGGAAGTGAGACCTTTGGGAAGTGATTAGGTCATAGAGGGAATTAGTGCCCTTATAAGAAGGGTCAGGAGGCCGGGTGTAGTGGCTCAAGCCTGTAATTCCAGCACTTTGGGAGGCTGAGGTAGGAGGATCACTTGAGCCCAGAAATTCTAGACCAGCCTGGTTAACATAGCAAGTCCCTGTCTCTATAAAAAAATTAAAAAGTTAGCCGGGCATGGTGATGCACACCTGTAATCCTGGCTACTTGGGAGGCTAAGGTGGGAGGATCTCTTGAGCCCAGGAGTTCAGGGTTGCAGTAAGCTACGATTGTATCATTGTACTTCCAGCCTGGGTGACAGAGTGAGACCCTGACTCTTTTTTTTAAAAGAGTTGGCACAGCTTCTGCTCTCTCGGCTCTCCACCATGTAAGGACATGAGAAGGCAGCCATCTGCAAACCAGGAAGTGGGCTCTCACCAGACACTAGGTCTGCTGGCAACTGGGTCTTGGACTTCCCAGCCTCCAGAACATGAGAAATAAATGCCTGTTGTTTAAGCCCCACAGTCTACGGTAATTTATTATAGCAGCCTAAGCCAGGAGACAGGTAAGATCCACCCTAGATCAATGCGTGTTTGACTGAAACACATGCAATGCGTACCTAGGTAATTGGCCATGGAGATGAAGCACAGCCCTGTGATGTAGGCATCGTAACCTGCCTCATGGAGTTGTTCAGAGGCTGTGTCATAACTTGGAAAACCTTCAGCACTTTCTAAGAAAAAAAGGAAAAAGTTTTCCTCAAAACAAAGACTAGTAAGCACACTGCCCTACCAATCCAAATTGCATTAGTATATGCTAGAGAAATATCCTAAATAGGCAGAAAAAAAGCTATCTGTTTCTTAATTCTCTCCATATGAGACCTTAAAATATAAGATAACAGAGTCCCTGAAAAGGAGGACTTTGATCTAGGATACAGAAATTCCTCAGTTACAATACGAAGGACTCAGCTGTGGGCTTTCTCATCCCACACTGGTGGGTGCTATTTATGATCATCCATAACTCGCTCTAGGACAATTATTCCTCTTTTGCTTGCTTTCTAAGGCCATGAAAAGGATATTCTTCCCTTACACAAGATGGTCACATCAGGACACAACAGACGATTCAGAGTAAAGATTAAGAGCACAGGCTCTGGAGTCACACTGAGTTCGAACCTCTGCTCCGCCACTTATTTGCTGTATGATGTTGGGCAAGTCACTTCATCTCTAAGCTTCCAGTTTTGTAAAATGGAGATGATAATCAAAACTTCTTCAAAAGGTTATTGTTAGGATCAGATGAGATAGTATAAGTTAAACTCTTACCTAGTGCTTGGTACACAGTAAGTGCTCAAAAACTGTTATCTATCAATACCTGAGGTAACCCTCCCCCCAAAAAACAGAAGACTGCAATTCAATATCGACAGCCCCAACTCACTACTATCCTCTACTATGTTCCTAAGCTTAGAGATCAAAAGGTGACAGCATAACCAACTCCAAAAATAAATTGAACTTGCTATAATGCTGGCCTTGGATCACGGAGCCACTTTACAGCAAAGACCACTTTATATATAATATGGTTCTTTTGTGACATTGATAAATACAGATGTGACCAGATAAACTCTAAGAGGAATGACCTGCTTTAGACTGAATTCTCTATCAGATGCCACTATTTCATATGGAAATAATAAGATAAAACTTTAACTCATAAATAATTATATCCTAGAACCATTCTGGAAATGAAGGTTACTACAACACAGAAATAAAAAGCATAAATAGAAATTAACAATGAAAAGACTGTAACTGTATTTATGTCAATACAATGCTCTTTAAGTAAGAATTCTTTAACTCCATATTAAATATTAGACTTGATGCCTTTAAAAAAAAGCCTTTTCACACGGTAGCCACCTAAGTAATATCTTCCGCTCCATCATCAACGGAGACACGTTCTTTCCAAAATCAATTATTTCCATTATATTGTTATAGAAAAGGTCTAGGTTTTCTCCCCCAATGGCCCCACCACCACTTTTCTTAATTCCTTTCTTGGACTATTACCCAGAAAGAGGTAAATAACTGTAATCTTGGCTGCTTTAATACCTTGCATTATCAATTTCTAAACCATTAGTCCTATTATCCATGTCTTTAGCAGTTTTCAGGCTATAGGTAACGGCTTGCTAATCACCATATCAGTAGCACAATCAGGTTAACAGGGACCACGGAAGTAGCACCTGGAAGGCTCTCCACACACCTTGGTGGTGGCTAGAGGTGGCAAAACACCACCATCTCATCTCCCCTACTTCTGGTTTTCCTCAGTGCTGCTGTTTCCACTCTCTAAACCAGCTGAAAAGGAGGCAGGGTGGGGACTTGCCTTAATCTCATCTGTAAATCCAGTTGTTGGGCTTTTCTGAGATGGAAAATGTATTTTTTACTCTACCCCTGGTGATTAATCACTAGCTCTTTGTCTCTGCTTAAATAATGTATGAAAGAATAGAAGGGCACATCAAGTTTTAGGAGAATTCCATACATTAGGAAATAAAAGCCTTGAAGTTTTAATTGTTAAAATTCTCAAAGAATGGCTATTCAACTCCATTAACATAAAATAGATGTAGAATTAAAAGACCATCTTTATTCAAAAAACAATAATTCCACACAAGACATTTCCAAGTGAATTCAGCCAAAATCTATAAATGAACAATACGGTTTCCAGGACCATTCTGCTTTTCTTCTAAAATATACATCAATAATTATTACAAAGAGTTTGGAGGGTTTCAGGTTTGTTTAATATTCTCACCAACTTTAGGAGGGCTGAAAGGTGTCTCTTTTAAACGCTTTTCCAATTCCGCAAGGGATGTGTTGTTAATGATATCCTGCAAACCAGGAAGCAAAGAATTATGAGATTTCATCATCTCAGTACAATATATTAAAGAGATTCACTAATCCCCCCCCGCAAAAAAAAGGCAGCGTCTAGTACTGCCTCGTGTTCTTTAAAGAAACACAGAAGTCTTCGTTTTTTTCCAATGTGAAAGAGAAGCAGCTAGTTTAATTTTTATAATATACAAAGTATAACCAAAAGAATGAAGATCTTTACAGATGCATTAAATACCTCCAAACCTTCTGCCAGAAGGCAATATTGTTCTGGCATTTACTTCACTAATATGCAGTCACTTTATAAAGTAGCAAATGAATAATACCTTAAAAGGTTGTGTGCTGGCCATCAATTTAGTATCCAAGAGTCTAAAAAGAATTTTTAACAAGGTAAACAAAATGTGTATCAATATTTAAAATGTCTTTTACTCAAACATGTAAGCTACTTAAAATACTTAATACATAAAATACATACTTAAAACATAAAATATTTAATACATAAAATACTTAAACACAGACAAAGGAATTAAACATATCAGTCGTTTTGAACCTTGCACCAGCATCCCTGCTACATTGGAGTAGGTACTCAGTCCCATCATCAGCAACTTCATTGAGCGACTGCAGGAGAGTCCACACTTGGAGTACAAGTTATAGATTCACCCGGATCCTGAGAGAGCCCGGTGAACTCAAGGGTGAGTCAAATACTCCCACATGGTTTTACGTGGTTCAAATACTGCTGCCGGTCTACTATTCCCAAGCTGCTACCATCTACTCCTACTCCTCAGGTTTGTAAACTATAAATTCTTCTGGAGGGCCAAAATCTGCAATAAGTAGTTTCATGCTGTAGTTTTTATTTCTTATTCTATTTCAGAGATCAGAAATACCAAAAGGGGAGGGTGGGGAGAAACCCACAAAAAACTCTATTTCTCTAATTTTTTTTTCATATAAATGTGAACAGAGTGGGTAACAAGACAGAAATACGCCCAGCTGAAAGAGAAACTGCTCGAACACTATGCCTATCCCTCTTCAACAGGTCCTAAAACACAAACACTTGTTCTGTAAGCTCCACATGGCTGACCTGTGATGTCTGAGAGATATGTGACATGTGACCTATCAGAACAAGGGTGCAATACTAACTGTGGAAAACACCAACAAGAAAAGGCACCGACTTGAAGTGGATGAAAAAAAAAAATCTCTAGCCAGACAGACAGTACTTGACTGACTCTTGAACACTCTCAATTGGACACTTCAATAGTTACAAGGTACATCCTACATGCAAGACAGACAAGAGCCATCTCAAGGAGGCTTCACCAGTTCTTCAGAAAGCAAGATGAGGTATAAGAAAAAAGGAGTCTCTGTCTACTTTCACTCTCAGTTCAAACTGATTTTTCGATAACAAAACCAATCATAAATTATAAAAGCAAGCCATCACAACATTGCAGCTATTAAGTAAGCTCCAGGCTTATATGAACATGATCTAATGGTTTTAACAAATTACTATATACCTATTTGCATTGTGTATGTATGTCACAATGACCTTTTTTTTTTTTTTTTTTTTGAGACAGGATTTCATCTGTCACCCAGGCTGGAGTATAGTGGCACTATTATGGCTCACTGCAGCCTGGACCTCTTGGGTTCAAGCAATTTACCCACCTCAGCCTCCTGAGTAGCTGGACCACACATATCCCACCACACCCAGCTAATTTTTTATTTTTTGTAGAGATGTGGTTTCACTATGTTGCCCAGGCTGGTTCTGAACTCCTAGGCTCAAGTGATCCTCCCACCTCAGTCTCCCAAAGGGGTGGGATTATAAGTGTGAGCCACTGTGCCCAGCTGACTCTTTTAAATGAAAGACAAATCCTCAAAGAAAGCTTACCTGGGGAAAACACATGTTGTCATCTCTTTAAACTCACTTAAGTCCTAAAGAACAAGAGAAGGACTTGTTACAATTTTCCTAATACACTCGCAGTATTAAAAAACATGTAAACAGCTCAAGTTCCATAGCTGTCTTCTCAAACAAGCTGTTGGAGCCCTTAAGCTAAACTACAAAACCCATTTCTAGTTAACAAGTACTAAAAAAAAAAAACCTTCCCAATTTCCTCACCTCACTCATTGGGAACCATATAACCTGATAACTAACTTCTGCATAACCAAAACAACAAATTTAAGCATTTAATAGTTGAAATTGGGAAGGGGTGGGGGCGTTCCAATAAAATGTTAAAAACTACATATTTGAGAGGCCTATAATAAATCCAGAAAACTTCCAGTAATAGCTAACAGGCTGCGATCTACCACACGAATTTATCATAACAGTGAGACAAGCAGAGTCATTAAAATTAAATGGTTTATACAGGAAATGGGCATACTATAAACTAGCTTAGACCTTTCCTGAGATCACCTCTGAAATGTTAGTAAAAATGGCCTTGGAAACACAGGCCTTTCAATACACATATGATTCCTGTTTCAACTCCAGAAAATTGCTCAAGAGGCACTAATAGCAAGTGCCTAGATTAGACAATTCATTTCTCAAGTTTATTTTGATCAGGAAGTCTAGAGCTGAAATGAGAGTCCTCTAATTTTGAATTAACTCATTTACATACATAATTGCCATGCTAGACTGAGTAGTCATACTCCTGACCCTTTGTAAACTACACTTCTCTTCAATGTTATTCATGCCTCATAGGAAACTGCGGTTTCCAATTAGCTTTTCAAGCCTGTAAATACAGACTGTATTTAGCTAGCTTGATATATTTACCATTGAAAAGCTTCAATGGCTATAGTTAAATTAGTGGGCAAAGTATGAACAGGCGGTTTGAATGCAAAGTCAAAAAAAATGTAATAATTTGTAATCTCTCAATACCACTAGAAAGCTTTACAAGCAAGGAACAAGGAAAATTACAGCTACCTCCAGGGCCAACATATAGCACAGTTCTAGACCAGCGTCTTCTAAAAGGTCATGCTCAAATATCAAGATGGTTCATAAGAAAACACTCTCCCCTAAAAGGCAACTCCAAAATATGGATTCTTTAGTGTCCTTTTAAATGCAAATTTTGATACCAGTGCATGTAAAAGTTCTACCTTTTTATTGAGTCAGGGTCTCACTATGTTGCCCAGACTAGCCTTGAACTCCTGGACTCAAGCAATTCTCCTGTAACAGCCTCTCAAGTAGCAGGCACTGCAGGTAGGCACCACCACACCCAGCCTTCTAATTTATTAGCCTTTCTAATTTATTCTCATCACTTCTTCTGAAGGTAGATGGAAAAAAACAAAACAAAACATTTTCTCTCTCTGGCAATGCCAGAACATAAAGAAGTTAAGTAACTTACCCAGGTAGCCTTAGTAATAAAGTGAGGGATAAAACTGCATATCCTAACCTACTTACTACTCTACAACAAATCACTTGCTCTTTCTACCAGAATTTAATTAAAGATCACTTTCGTTCCACTTAATATTCATTAACTGCTTACACACAATGTGTTATGTTAGGCACTTACACACAGACAACAAAATGGCTACACTCCTTGTCGAAGGAGCTAACCACCTAGAAGGGGGTTATGCTGTATAATACAAGACAAAATTTATGTAACATAGAGAGGTACAATGTTCTATGGGAGTTCAGAGAAAGGAAAGATCACCTCTTGGGCAAGGTAGCAGCCAACAAAAACTTCACGGAGGAGGCAAAAGCTGCACTGCGGAGAGTTAAGGGAAAGTTGTGAACAACACTGAGAACAATAAAAGAAAATTCAAGTTGGAAGAAATCAAACAAAGCACCTCTTAGGGAACAAATAAGTCAGTCTCGGAAAAAGGAGAGTAACAAACAAGTGATTAGACTCCACAGAAAGGTTGGGCTGGATCACAGAAAGCCTGATATGCAGGGGTAAAAACACTCAACTGCCTAGAAAACAAAGAATGTGGGATTAATTTAAATTTTCAGCAGGTTCAGCGACAGAAACGGAGTCATACATCAGAAGATTACAAAACTGGCAGTCGGGAGATACCTCATTCATTAAATCGATATTTAATGCCTTCTAGTGCCAAGTTCTACTCAGTATTCAAAACACCTAGAAGCACAGAATTAAACACATTTTCCTCTTGCCTTGCTGATGACTTCATAGCTTTAAAGATCAAAAAGGGCTGGGCATGGTGGCTCATTCCTGTAATCCCAGCACTTTGGAAGCCCGAGAGGGTGGATCACTTGAGGCCAGAAGTTTGAGACCAGCCTGGCAAACATGGTGAAATTCCATCTCTACTAAAAAAAAATACAAAAATACAAAAATTAGCCAGATTTGGTGGCATATACCTTACCCAGCTACTCGGGAGACTGAGACATGAGAATCACTTGAACCTGGGAGAGGGAGGTTGCAGTGAGCCAAAAAATCACACCACTGCACTCCAGCCTGGCAACAGAGTGAGACTCTGTCTCAAAAAATAAATGAACAGGCTGGGCGTGGTGGCTCACACCTGTAATCCCAGAGTTTTGGGAGGCCAAAGCAGGTTGGTGGATCACTTGAAGTCAGGAGTTCAAGACCAGCCTGGCCAACATGGTGAAACTCCGTCTCTACTGAAAATATATAAATTAGCTGGGCATGGTGGCAGGTGCCTATAATCCCAGCTACTTAGGAGGCTAAGGCAGGAGAATCACTTGAATCCGTAGGCAGAGGTTGTGGTGAGCCAAGATAGTGCCACTGCACTCTACCCTGGGTCACAGAGCAAGACTCCGTCTCAAAACTAACTAACTACTAACTAAATAAATAAATAATAAAAGTTAAACAGTCAAGAGAAGAGCTGCTACTTTGATCTACTTGGCCAATAAGAAGTGGTGATCTGGCCAGGTGCAGTAGCTCACATCTATAATCTTAGCACTTTGGGAGACTGAGGTGGGCCGACCTCTCTTGAGCACAGGAGTTCAAGACCAGCATGGGCAAATTGTGAGATCATGTCTCTACAAAACTTACAAAACAGTCAGGCATGGTGGCATGTGCCTGTGGTCCCAACTACTCGAGAGGCTGAGGTAGGAGTACCACTTGAGCCCGGGGAGTTGAGGCTACAGTTAGCCATGATCGCGCCATTGCACTCCAGCCTGGGTGACAGAGCAAGACACTCTCCCAGAAAAGAAAAAAAAAAAAAAATGGCTGGGCATAATGTCTCACGCCTGTAATCGCAGCACTTTGGGAGGCCCAGGCAGGCAGACCACCTAAGGTCAGAGTTCAAGACCAGCCTGGCCAACATGGCGAAATCCCATCTCTACTACAAATACAAAAATTAGCTGGGCATGGTGGCAGGTGCCTGTTTATTCTAGCTACTCAGGAGGCTGAGGCAGTAGAATCGCTTGAACCTAGGAGACGGAAGTTGCAGTGGACCGAGACTGCACCACTGCATTCCAGCCTAGGTGACAGGGTAAGATTCCATCTCAAAAAAAAAAAAAAAAAATACGAAAGAGAAGAAAAAAGAAAAGAAAAAAAAACAGAAGTGGGATGATACAAAATAAACATTAGCTCATTAAACTTAAGAAATGCAAATCCAGGCCTAGCGCGGTGGCTCACACCTGTAATCCCAGCACTTTGGGAGGCAGAGGCAGGTAGATCCTGAGGTCAGGAGCTCAAGACCAGCCTGGCCACCATGGTGAAACCCTGTCTCTACTAAAAACATAAAAATTAGCCAGGCATGGTGGCGGGCGCCTGTAATCCCAGCTACTCAGGAGACTGAGTCAGGAGAATCACTTGAACCCAGGAGGCCGAGATCCCACCACTGCACTCCAGCCTAGGTGACCAAGAGAGACACCATAAAAAAAAAAAAAAAAAAAAAAAAGGGGAAAAAAAAAAAAAAAAAAAAAAAAAAAAAAAAAACAGAAGTATGGTGGGTGACATAAAATAAACATTAGCTTATTAGACTTAAGAAATGTCAATCCGGGCCAGGCACAGTGGCTCACACCTGTAATCCCAGAACTTTGGGAGGCGGAGGCGGGTGGATCACCTGAGATGAGGAGTTCGAGACCAGCCAAGCCAACATGGTGAAACCCTGTCTCTACTAAACATACAAAAATTAGCCTGGCATGGTAGCAGGCATCTATAATCCCAGCTACTCAGGAGGCTGAGGCAGGAGAGTCACTTAAACCCAGGAAGTGGAGGTTGCAGTGAGCAGAGGTCATGCCACTGCACTCCAGCCTGGGCCACAGAGCGAAACTCAGTGTCAAAAAAAAAAAAAAAAAAGAAATGCAATTCCACACTTGTCACACTTGTTTTGAGACCCACAACTATGAAGTCTTTGAGTCTTAAAATGTGTTAGAAGGTGATAGAGCTGTCATAAAAAGTGAAGACAACCTAAATTTTCACAAATACAAGGGGAGCAACTGACCCACTCATGACTGGTCTGTATTGCACTTTTTTAAAGGAGGGTAATCAAAATGCTGACAGAACAACGGGACCTAAGAAATGTGAAGTAAAAGAAATGTGAAGTAACTGAAGGTCTGCAGATGTATACGTGAGACTGAACTCTCAAGCAAGTGCCTTCCAATCCATAAGTAACAAAAATTAATCTTTTAGCTGGGCATGGTAGTGCATGCCTGTAGTTCTACCTACTCAGGAGGCTGAGGCAGAAGGACTACTTGAGCCCAACACCTTGAGATCAGCCTGGGCAACAGAGCAAGACCTAGTCTCTATTTTATTAAAAAGATATGGGGAAGGCCGTGCACGGTGGCTCATGCCTGTAACCCCAGCACTTTGGGAGGCCAAGGCAGGCGGATCACGAGGCCAGGAGGTCGAGACCACCCTGGCCAACATGATGAAACCCTGTCTCCACTAAAAATACAAAAAAATTAGCAGGGCGTGGTGGTGCATGCCTGTAGTCCCAGCTACTCAGGAGACTGAGGCAGGAGAATCACTTGAACCTGGGAGGTGGAGGTTGCAGTGAGCGACATCGCACCACGGCACTCCAGCCTGGCGACAGAGTGAGACATCGTCTCTAAAAAAAAAAAAAAAAAAAGATATGGGGGAAAAAATTATTTAAAAAAAAGAAAAAGATTAGTCCAGTGGCATACTATGGTCCACAGGCCAAATACAGCCCACCAATTATTTTTTAAACAAAGTTTTATTGCAACACGGCTACGCCCATTTGTTTACATATTCTGTGGCATTTGGGGGCTACAATGGCAGAGCTGAGAATTGTGACAGAAACTATACAGCCTGGAAAGCTGAAAATATTTTACTATGTGGCCCTTTATAGAAAACATTTGCCAACTTTTATTTTAAAGGATGGGCTGAAGGTTGAAGGGGGACAGGAAATGCTGCCTGGAATTTGCTAAATTCCAAGGTGAGAAAGGAAAACGCTTGCAACAAAAATAAAAAGAATCAGCTGGGCGTACTGGCTCACACCTGTAAATCCTGGCACTGTGGGAGGCCAAGGTGGGTGGATCACAAGGTCAGGAGATTGAGATCATCATGGCCAACACGGTGAAACCCCGTCACTACTAAAAATACAAAAAAAACAGCTGGGCGTGGTGGCACGCGCCTGTAGTCCCAGCTACTCGGAAGGCTGAAGCAGGAGAATCACTCGAACCCAGGAGACGGACGTTGCAGTGAGCCGAGATCATGCCACTGCACTCCAGTCTGGTGAAAGAGTGAGGTTCCAACTCAAAAAAAAAAAAAAAAAGAAAAGAAAAAAAGAAAAGAAACCAGATGTGAGAGAGGGCATGGAGATAAAATTGTCAGGATGTTGGAAATGACCAGATCTGGGGACAGCTAGAGTCAAAACTGATGCTAAAAACAGGGTTGGTAACTGGGAATCACTTATGGTAATAGGATGAGGAGAAAGAAGTGGTTTGGAGACAGTAAGAAAGAAAAGAAGTACAAGTGAAATATCTCATTTGAGCCACGTCAATTCAATACAACACTTAGTCTGGGGGCTATCCAGGTAGGGATTTCTGGAGTCCAGCATGAAATGTATACCTGGATCTGAAAAGAGACCACAACTGGGGATAAAGATGTTGGTGTCTACAGCTGAAGCTGTAAACTCAGTGAGATCACTAAAAGACAAAAAAAGATGAAGAGGAAATAAGAGAGAGTGGAGCACAGAGTGGCGGGGGACAAGTAACGTGAGGCCACGGACACCGTATGGAGCAGAAGAGGGAGAGCCAGTAGGGGAACCAAAGCAGCTTGTGCTTTGGTCAACCAAGGCAACTTGGCTCAAAGACTGAAAGAAGCACTATTGAAGTCAGCAGAGAATCTAAGGGAAGCAGCCTAGCAGGGACGATCAAGAATTCTGTAGGACTGGACCCACTTCAGTTGCCACCACTTACCTTCAATGGCCATGCTATGTCTAATTTTAGCAGGACCAGACTAGCAGCCCACACCTGTGGCCTGGGAATCCCTGCCCAGCACTAAATGAGCAAACTACTGGCATTAAGACGATGAAACAAATGTTTAATCTTTCTCTGGCAATGGCAGTGACTGAAGATCCCTTAATAAAAAAGCTTGTGGCCAGGCGCAGTGGCTCACGCCTGTAATCCCAACACTATGGGAGGCCAAGGCAGGTGGATTATGAGGTCAGGAGTTCGAGACCAGCCTGGCCAACATGGTGAAACCCCATCTCTACTAAAAATACAAAAATTCGCTGGACATGGTGACGGGTGCCTGTAATCCTAGCTATTCAGGAGGCTGAGGAAGGAGAATCGCTTGAACTCGAGAGGCGGAAGTTGCAGTGAGCCAAGACTACGCCACTGCACTCCAGCCTGGGCAACAGAGCGAAAGTACGTCTCAAGGAAAAAAAAAGTACAACTGAGCGCATAAGATTCTGTCTGGGAACATGCTGCATACAAGGAAATGGCACCCAAGTAGAGGACAGTTTCTCAGTTAAAAGCATCATAATATTTTTTCGGATAAAAAGCATCCTGCTAATATTTAACACAGACCAACAGGTCACTTACCGCAGGCAGAGGGCAGTAGAACTGATGAACTGTGTGCATGACGTCCAAGAGCATATTGTGTCCAATAACAAGTTTTCCCTAAAGAAAGTCAAGGTTAGAAAAAAGACTTCCACATTCAAAATTATACTGGGGTTTGAGGATGTATAGTTCAGATTCCAAGAGGACTTTGTTCTAAACTTGCTTTCCACACTAAAAAAAAAAATGAAAACAAAAACAAAAACAAAGTACAAATAAGCAAATTTGGGCTGGCTTCATTCCTCCTCCATTTTGGAACGTTAACTCCGGAAGGCAAAGTGAAAGCTCCAAATGACTTTGATGTCACTGATCTTTTTCTTGAATCTTTATTAATTATGCCACCCTCATGAATCAGAAGTAGTAAAATTTTGATTGAAAAGTTTTTTTAAAAGTAAAATCTGGGCTGGGCATGGTGGCTCACGACTGTTATCTCAGCACTTTCGGAGGTCAAGGTGGGTGGATCCCCTGAGGTCAGCAGTTCAAGACCAGCCCGGCCAACACGGCGAAATCCCATCTCTACTAAAAATAGAAAAATTAGCCAGGTGTGGTGGTGCATGCCTGTAATCCCAGCTACCCAGGAGGCTGAGGCAGGAGAATCGCTGGAACCCAGGAGGCAGAGGCTGCAGTGAGCCGAGATTGTGCCACTGCACTCTAGCCTGGGCGACAGAATGAGACTCTGTCTAAAAAAAAAAAACAGTAAAATCTGAAAGCATTGACTCCCTTAAACTGTCAAATAATTTGGGAATAAAACTAAACACGAATTTTAGGGCTGCATCCTTTAAAACAACCCATTTATTTAAAAAGATACATTCATACCAATGCTAAAAGGTAAAAATAACTGATTTCTAACTATATTAAACAGAATTGCATTTCCTATATCATTATGTCAAAATTCATGGGGTATGTTCTTAAATACGTATCCATTAAAAGTCACTGCCTTTCAGCCAACTGAAATACAATATATGTGCTGGCAGCCCTTTTCGTGCAATGGGCACTGTGTCTGTCTTATGCTATATGTGCAACAAATTAGTCCATTTTGACAAAAATTAAACTTCCAAAATGCAACATCAACTTAGATTTAGCCAGCCAGTTGACACCATTTTTAACATAAAACATCAGGGGCCAGGCGTGGTGGCTCATGCCTGTAATCCCAGCACTTTGGGAGGCCAAGGCAGGCAGATCACCTGAGGTCAGGAGTTCGGGAACGGCCTGCCCAACATGGCGAAACCCTGTCTCTATTAAAAACACAAAAAATTACCTGGGTGTGGTGGCAGATGCCTATAATCCCAGCTACTCGGGAGGCTGAGGCAAGAGAATGGCTTGAACCCAGAAGGCAAAGGTGGCAGTGAGCCGAGATCATACCACTGCACTCCAGCCTGGGCGAAAGAGCCAAACTCCGTCTCAAAAAAAAAAAAAAAAAAATCAGGTTACCACGATGGAGCTTTTTACTATGTCCCAAAGGACCTTCAGTATAACACTGCTTGACTCATGGGACTACACATTATCTGAAATAATCCTACACAAAATCTCCCACATCTAACAGAGAAGCTGTCCTTTTGGCTCAGTATTGTTGTACATTCTGAATACCTATGCTAAACTAAAATAATGAGCATTGATTGAAACCACAGAAAAGATGTGTAGGCAACCCCAAATGGAATGCAAACACTAAGAAATGAACCAAACTGTATTATAAATGACTACCATAATCACACTGAAGGTTAAGAAGAAACAAACTAACTTGGAAAAGAGCATCTTGACTAGATAATGTAAGGCTAAAAACAAAAGGAATTGCACATAAATCATAAATGTTATAATCTCATCAATAAATGTACTTCTCACGAGGTATGGGTTAGTAGCTCTGAAGCTACTTTATGTGTACACCAAGTTTAAACAAATAAACATAATGGAAGTAAAAGGAACTGGATTTTTCACTGTTGAGAAAGAAGGCACAAATAAGAAAAGAGAGGAAGCTAAAAATAAGTCATGTGGTATTGTACTGGAATCTGAGGTATCAGTATAAAGGCGTGGATACACCCGTGCACGCGCGCACACACACACATTTATTTAGAGACAGGGTCTCACTGTTGCCCAGGCTGTAGTGCAATGGCACCATCATGGCTCACTGCAGCCTCAAACTCCCATGCTCAAGCAATCCTCCCACCTCAGCCTCCCCTATAGCTGGGACCACAGGCATGTGCCACCACTCTTGGCTAATTTTTTAATTTTTTTTTTTTTTTGAAATGCAGTCTTGCTCTGTTGCCCAGGTTGGAGTGTGGTGGCACAATCTCAGCTCACTACAACCTTCGCCTTCCAGGTTCAAGAGATTCTCCTGCCTCAGCCTCCTGAGTAGCTGATACTACAGGTGGCACCACCACACTGGCTAATTTTTGTATTTTTAGTAGAGACAGGGTTTCACCATGTCGGCCAGGCTGGTCTCAAACTCCTGACCTCACGTGATCTGCCCGCCTTGGCCTCTCAAAGTGCTGGGATTACAGGCGTGAGACACACACCCAGTCAATTTTTACATTTTTTGTAGAGACGGGGTCTCCCACGTTGCCCAGGCTGGTCTTGAACTACTGGCCTTAAGCAGTCCTCCTGCCTTGACCTCCCTAAGTGTGGGATTACAGGGTTGAGCCACCATGCCCAGCTACATACACATTTATATAGATCCACACACACATACATATACAGAGAGACACAGAAATATAGCTGTGTGTGTACATGCCTAGGTCTACATACATATGCTTCTTAGCTCTGTCCAGTGAGAGGGCTTAGAAGCAATAATATCACAGCAGTAACCTAGGGCCAGATCTTGGTTTCTAAATATCATTCCCCATTAAAAGGGACCAGAGCTCCATGGAGAAGTCATTCATTCCACAACTGAGCCAGAAAAACTACAAGAATACCAGAAAGCAAGGAAATGCACAGAAAAGGACAGGGTGCTTGTTCAAAGGACACAGGAGCCAAGTCAAAGAAGCTCCAATGGTCAAAGGTGGTACAATTTAAGCAACAAAGTAAACAGTAAAAACACTAGATAATAATCTGTAGAATAAAAAAAAATCCCTGAGCCCATACTCATATACATAAAAACAATTAAATAAACAGGGGAAAGGGCTGGGTGTGGTGGCTCATGCCTATAACCCAAACATTTTGGGAGGGTGAGGTCGGGGAGACTGCTTGAGCCGAAGAGTTCAAGACCAGTCTGGACAACATGGGAAGACCTCCTCTCCACAAAAAATATATATAAAAAATTAGCCGCACGTGGTAGCGCATGCCTTTAGTCCCAGCTAGTCAGGGGGCTAAGGAGGGAGGATCGCTTGAGCCCGGGAGGTGGAGGCTGCAGTGAGCCAGTGTACTCCCAGTGTACTCCCAGCATGGGGAACAGAGAAAGACTGTGTCTCAAAATTAAGTAAGTACATAAATAAACAGGGGAAAAAGACATTTTTTCTTTTCCCCCCATTTTTTTTTGAGACAGAGTCTCAACTTTGTCGCCAGGCTGGAGTGCAATGGCACGATCTCAGGTTACTGCAACCTCCGCCTCCCAGGTTCAAGCGATTCTCCTGCCTCAGCCTCCCAAGTAGCTGGGATTACAGGTGTGTGCCACCACACTCAGTTAATTTTTGTATTTTTAGTAGAGATGGGATTTCACCATGTTGGTTAGGCTGGTGTCGAACTCCTGACCTCCAGTGATCCGCCCGCTTCAGCCTCCCAAAGTACTGGGATTACAGGTGTGAGCCACCATGCCCAGCCCATTTTTTTCTTTATAGAAGAATTCCAAGAACAAATGTAGAAAGGACGAAGGAAATAGAAACTTGCCATCAGAATACCACAGTAATAACTACTGCAGGAAAGATATGTTGATAGACGATAATATTAGTAGGCAAAGTTTGGTAGAACACAGGATTTTCATGGTCTCAAAGTATCTCCCCCAAGATATTTATAAACTATAAAGTCAATTAAACTATATAGTTAATTTAACTATAATTTAATGATATAGTTAATTTATTAACTATAAAGTTAATTTCACAGAACACAAATCCAGCCGACACCACCTTAACCAAGCGATCAAGATCAACATCATGGGCAGGGCGCGGTGGCTCACGCCTGCAATCCCAGCACTTTGTGAGGCCGAGGCAGGCGGATCACAAGGTCAGAAGACCGAGACCATCCTGGGTAACATGGTGAAACCCTGTCTCTATTAAAAACACCAAAAAATTAACCAGGTGTGGTGGTGGGCGCCCATAGTCCCAGCTACTCAGGAGGCTGAGGCAGAAGAATGGCGTGAACCCAGGAGCTTGCAGTACACCAAGATCGCGTCACTACACTCCAGCCTGGGCGACAAAGCAACACTCCCTCTCAAAAAAAAAAAAACCAACAACATCATGAACCATCATTTCTGTGGTATTCTTGCCAAACCATATATCCTCAGATCAGTCATTAGAAAATGTGAGACAAATTCCCACTGGGGGACTTCTGACAAAACAGCAATCAATATCATTCAAAAGTATCCAAGTTATAGGGCCGGGCACGGTGGCTCATGCCTGTAAACCCAGTACCTTGGGAGGCTGAGGCAGGCAGATCACTTGAGGTCAGGAGCTCAAGACCAACCTGGCCAATATGGTGAAAGACCAGAAATTAGCCAGGCGTGGTAGCAGGCACCCGTAATCCCAGCTACTTGGGAGGCTGAGGCAGGAGAATTGCTTGAACCTGGTAGGCAGAGGTTGTGGTAAGCCAGGATCGCGCCACTGCACTCCAGCAGGGTAATAGAGTGAGGCTCCAGCTCAAAAAATATACATATTTAAAGTATGGGATTTATGCATCTTGTTTTAGTCAACTTTCATTGAAGACTCAAAACTTTTAAATGTAGTATGCTTTGGGATATTGACTACCAAAGGTCAGCAACATGTTATGAATATTCTGTAGAAGAAAGATGATGTCAGAGAAAAGAAAACAGGTACAGCAAGCTAAGGTATCTGAATGTGTGTAAGGCAAACAAATGTCCAATCTCGGAAAAGCTGACTAAATTATCATGATGGCTACAGAAGAGCTCAAAACCAACTGATGTTCCGTATCTCTGAATTTTAGGGCCCGCCTCAATCAAAACCATCACTTATCTGAAGTCTGCTAGCAAGGAGTGCACAACATGAGCAAATGGAACCAGAAACTCAATTCTGCTTTTCTGGATACCTATAATCTCAGCCACTGCTGAACAGGCTCACAGCTTTGTTTCTATCTGGATCTATCCAACTTTCTATTCGACTTTAATCACCCCACTTACTTGAGCGAGAGAGGTCCTCACGAGCCAACCCTCTTCTTTTACAAGGCTCTGTAAACCTCTGTTTATTCCGGATTGAAGACAGTGGGGGGCCTCCCCTACAGCGTCCCTGTGTTTACAAGCCTGCAGCCAGCAGTGAGACAGCATGAAACTTTGAGAGGGTTTCTATGGCCTTAAAGCTTCCCTGATGCAACGTTCAGCATCTAAGGTACAAGATGATTCCTTCTCCCAGGGCTAAGTGCTCAAAGAAGAGAATGTCCTAGACTACAAGCAATTCAGCATCCAAGCAAGTTGTCTGTCTAGAACAACCAGCAGCATGACCCAGTTTACCTGCACAAGATGTGGATGCCTGTTTTCTCTTTTTTTTTTTTTCTTTAAGACAGGATCTTAGTCTGTCACCCAGGCTGGGGTGCAATGGCATGATCACAGCTCACTGCAGCCTTGACTTCCCGAGCTCCAGTGATCCTCCCACCTCAGCCTCTCAAGTAGCTGGAACCACAGGCATGTACCACCACACCTGGCTAATTTTTGTATTTTTAGTAGAGATGGGGTTTCCCCACGTTTCCCAGGCTGGTCTCAAACTCCCAAACTCAAGCAATCTACCCGCATCGGCCTCCCAAAGTGCTGGGATTACAGACATGAGCCACTATGCCCAGTCACCTGTTTTCAGAAAGGCCTCACAAAGCAAGGAAAAACACCCATCATATCTATCATAGAGTCCCCTAGCACATTTACACAAACGGCCAATATCTTTTTAAAACGTATCAAATATTATTAAGAATAAGATTCAATTACATTTATGCAGCATAAACAAAGACATCATTATTTTTACCCTCTAGATTCTTCTACTTAGGGAACAAAACACTTTCAGTCAAATATCTATTGTTTCTCCCCTTATTCCTTACTTTCTTATTCGACATCTTACGGGTTTTGAGAATAACTTGGTTTCCATGTAGTCATATAAGGACAACATAGTGTAACCCTCCTATGCATTTTTCAAGCAAGGCTCTCTGAAAATTGATTTGAATACAATTTAGCAATTATGTCTCACCAAGTGCATTATAACAATAGTCTGTCTTGATGAAGTTCTAACTTCTTCCTTCATACCAGGTAAACATTCTAAATGAGATGAAATGATTAATCTGCAATGATAATTAGATACTTCACCTGAAATAGTATGTTCTGCAATCTTGCTAAAAAGTCTGGCTCACTTACCGAATTAGCAATGGCATGAATGACTCTAGAAAATCCCACAGCATCATTCAGCTCCTCCTAATTAAAAGAATATATACAAGTATTACTGATGTATAAATATTCCTTATGTGAATGAATTAAAAACCTACCCGAAAAAAAGACACTGAAATTTTGTATCAAGTTAAGATAGCTTTAGTTTCCTGTGCTTTGTGCCTATCTTTCCAAACATCTGCATCTAAAACGATCTACGCACATACTTTTCCTCTATTTTAGAAAGCAGAATGAACAAATGGAAAATGATTCATTAGTTACTAAAATAACAATGCTTAGGATTTACCCATCACTTCACTGAACTCTTTAACATTTTCAAGTCTTTCAAGATATCTTAAAAACACTAACTTAAAAAGTCGCCACCTGCAGGCTAAACTCAGTAACACATTCAATTCTGAGGAAACCCATCTGGCAGTTAACTGATCAAATCAAGCATTTTCATAATTCCTAATTTTTTTCCTTGAAAAATACATTTTTATAAAATTCTCCCACCCACTTTCTTCTCTTCTATATTCTTTCCAGAAGTGTTGAAACTGGCTCAGTGTCTCTCCTATCTTGAAAACCCTCCCCTCCTCTAAGCTCTCTCAGACTACCGCCCCTTCTACTTATCTCATCAAAGCTAACTTGAAGGACTTCTCCAGTTTAATTCCCAGGTGTTCCCAGTCCTCTGGCTTCATGCTCACTGAAATTGCTCACCTCCTTAAAACTAACCCCAACACTGGCCAGACGCGGTGGCTCACGCCTGTAATCCCAGCACTTTGGGAGGCAGAGGCAGATGGATCACTTGGGGTCTGGAGTTCGAGACCAGCCTGACCAAGCTGGTGAAACCCCCATCTCTACTAAAAATAAAAAATTAGCCAGACGTGGTGGTGCATGCCTGTAATCCCAGCTACGCCACAGGCTGAGGCAGGAGAATCGCTTGAACCCAGGAGACGGAGGTTGCATGCAGTAAGCCGATATCGTGCTATTGCACTCCAGCCTGGGCAAGAAGAGCAAAATTCCATCTCAAAAAAAACAAAAAAAAAACAAAAAAACAAACAACAACAACAACAAAAAACTAACCCCAAGACTAACAAGTATTTGCAAGGATGCAGAGAAACTGGAACCTGTGTGCTGTTGATGAAAATGCTAAACAGTGCAGCAGCTAAGGAAAACAGTATGGAGGTTCATCCCAAAAAGAATTCCCATATCACCCAGCAATTCCATTCTGGGTATATACCCCAAAGAATTGAAAGCAGGGACTCAAATAGGTATTTGCACACCTGAGTTCACAAGAGTATTATTCACAATAGTCAAAAGCAACCCAAGTGTCCATAAACAAATGGATAAACAAAATGTAGTCTAGCCATACAATGGAATATTATTCAGCCTTAAAAAAGGAAATTCTGACACACGCCATAACATGGGGAACCTTGAGGATGCTATGCTAAGAGAAATAAGCCAGTCACAGAAGGACAAATACTATACTTACATAAGGTCCTCAGAGTGATCAAATTCATATGACAAAAAGTAGAATAGTGGTTGCCGGGTGGGGGTGTCTGGGGTGGGAGATGGTGAGTTGCTTAATTAGTACAGAGTTTCGGTTTTGCAAGATGAAGAGAATTCTGGAGATGGATGGTGGTGATGATTGCACAGCCATGTTAAAGTACTTGATGTCAGTGAACTGTACATTTAATAGTTAACATAATAAATTTTGTTATGTGTATTTTACCACAATTAAAAATTGGTTTTTTTGGGCCAGGTATGGTGGCTCACGCCTGTAATCCCAGCACTTTGGGAGGCTGAGGAAAGCAGACCACCTGAGGTCAAGAGTTAAAGACCTGCCTGGCTAACATGGCGAAACCCCATCTCTACTAAAAACACAAAAGCCAGGTGTGGTGGCGGGCACTTATAATCCCAGCTACTCTGGAAGCTGAAGCAGGAGAATCGCTTGAACTCAGAAGACAGAGGTTGCAGTGAGCCAAGATCATGTCACTGCAAGCGAGACTCCGTTTCAAACAAACAAACAAAAATTGCTTTTTTGGTTCTGTTTTTTGTTTTTGAGACAGAGTCTCACTTTGTCGCCCAGGCTGGAGTGCAGTGGCATGATCTCGGCTCACAGCAACCTCCGCCTCCCGGGTTCAAGCGATTCTCCTGCCTCAGCCTCCTGAGTAGCTGGGAATGCAGGTGCATGCCCCCGCGCCCGGCTAATTTTTTTGTTCTTTTAGTAGAGATAAGGAAAAACTGTTTTAATTATAGTTTAAAAAACTACTGCCAGGGATGAATTCAGCCATGTCTCAATCCTAACCCCTACATGGGAGCTGACACTGCTTCCCTTGGCTGTGTACCACAATAATCTCCTGGTACATTTTGTCAACTTCTGCCTATCATTTAAATGCTGTTCATCCTCAGGATTCAGTCCCAGATCCTCTTTTCATTCTTCATGTACTCCGCAGTTGCTCTCATCCAGTCCCAGTCTTTTTGCCAACGACAATCATGCCTAGCCCTCACCTCTCGTCTGTGCTCAACACTGACAAACCTGCTGAGAGGATATCCATCCTTGCATGTTCTGAAAACACCCAAAATCTCATCAGATCAAAACCAGAATGGAACATCTTTTGCCACTCTGGGGGAACGTCTTTTTCCACTCTAGGGGACGCGATGGTGTCCTGGTGGCCTCGCATGTATCAAAACAGGTCATGCAGGTAAAGGCTAATCTGCGTCTTGGCTACAGACTCATCTGCATCTTGGCAGAACACATCAGGAGGGAAGAGTGGGAGGCACAGGCTTCTAAGGAGCAGCTATGAGGTCAGCTCCCACCCCCTTGCCTGTCACTCCTGGGAGGCTGTCATGAAACAGTTCCTCATCGCCTCCTGGGTTCTGAGGACGTGTGAGGCTCTCTGGCTTGCCTTCTCAGAAGAGAGCTGCAGAATACCAAAGCCCTGAGCTGTGGCCTAGAACTGGTTCCTCAGTGAAGCCACATCACACAACACACACTGCAGTCATCTCGCACCTTTTCTTTTTTTTTTAAGACAAGGTCTCACTCTGTCACCCAAGCTGGAGTACAGTAGCATTAACTCAACTCACTGCAACTGCAACCTCCACCTCCTGGGTTCAAGCAATTCTCCAGCATCAGCCTCCCAAGTAGCTAGGACCACAGGTGCATATCACCACACCTGGATAATTTTTGTATTTTTGTAGAGATGGGGTTTCACTATGTTGCTCAGGTTGGTCTTGAACTACTGAGCTCAAAGTGATCCTCCCGCCTCAGCCTCCCAAAGTAGTGCTGACATTATAGGCATGAGCCACCATACCTGGCCTCTAACTGGTACCTTTTGTTTCTGCGTTGTCCTTTTTAGTATGGGGGACAGGGACCACAGGCAGCACCTTTTGCTCATCTTTCTCTGTACAGGTAATATGCTGTCTCCCAAAGTGGGTCGTTGTATCTTTACTGGTTGAGTCAATCAGGAGTGACCCCGCCTAATGTACATATGAGCATGACATTCATCCACATGCAAACCCACTCCTCTCTCCTCCACCTTTCCCCCTGACCAATGTCACTCCAGCCAACTCCTCCAAGTGAACGGAACGCAATCTACCCCATTGTGCAAATGTCTGGCATAAGCATTTTCCTCCTTCCCCCTTCCTCCTCCATGACCCACATCCAGTCATAAATTCCATGGATTCTACCTTCCAAATATCTCCAGATTCCATCTACACTGCTACTTACTATCCTACGCCAGGTCACCAACACCTCCTAGCTAGGTTACTCCACAGCTTAACTGGTCTCCTGCCTCCAGTCTTACTCACTCAAAACCATTCTTCACATAGCAAGCAGGATGATGTTCCAATGGCACAACCTAAGCATGTCATCCTCATCTGTCAGATCATGTGCTCTGAACTTGGTTTAAGGAAAACTAGTAACTATACATGAAGTTAGACGTGGCAGTATTAAAGGGCAATGACACACAAGCTAAATGAGAATCAAGAATACTTTCTTCAGGACTGGTTTAAGGAGACACTGGTCAACAGTGACGTCAGACTCACTTTGCTGGCTATGTCTCATGCTTAAACCTAACTTCCCCTTATTGTAGTCCAGGTTTTTCTGCCAATTCAATTGTTCTATAAAAGAAAATTATTCATTAAATTGAATCCAATGTATGATCTGAACTAGACAGGAATAAATCAATATTTATGTTGCCATTTCTTACCCCCCAAGAACTAATATAGCCCAATTACCTGTTCTTTGGCATGTTTCTGCTGCTCTCTTCTTTTGCGTTCTTCTTCATCTACTTTGCTGATAACTATGTATCGCTCCTTCTAAAAGACATAAAGCAAATATACAATTTTCTTTTCTTTTTTTTCTTTTTTTTTTTGCAACAGGGTTTCGCTCTTGTTGCTCAGGCTGGAGCGCAATGGCACGATCTCGGCTCACTGCAACCTCCACCTCCTGGGTTCAAGCGATTCTCCTACCTCAGCCTCCCCAGTAGCTGGGATTACAGGTATGTGCCACCACCACACCCAGCTAATTTTTGTATTTTTAGTACAGACAGAGTTTCTCCATGGTGGTCAGGCTGGTGTCAAACTCTCGACCTCAGGTGATCCACCCGCCTTAGCCTCCCAAAGTGCTGGGATTACAGGTGTGAGTCACGCGCCCGGCCACAGATAAACAATTTTCTAGAGGCAACTTAATCCAAAAAATTCAGATTTCTGCTGCCATTAGAATTTTTTTTTTTTTGAGACAGTCTCATTCTGTCACCCAGGCTGGAGTGCAGTGGCACAACCTCAGTTCACTGCAGCCTCTACCTCCCAGGTTCAAGCAATTCTCCTGCCTCAGCCTCCAGAGTAGCCAAGATTACAGGTGCGCACCAATATGCCCCGCTAATTTTTGTATTTTTAATAGAGACAAGGTTTCGCCATGTTGCCCAGGCTGGTCTCAAACTCCTGACCTCAAGTGATCTGCCCACCTTGGCCTCCCAAAGTGCAGAGATTACAGGCATGAGCCACCATGCCCAGCCAGAAGTTATAATTTTTGTAACTACACACTTCTTTTTGTATGTGTGACAGGTTATCACTTCCATCGCTCAGGCTGGAGTGCAGCAGCATGATCACAGCTCACTGTAGCCTCAAATTCCTGGACTCACGTGATCCTCCTACCTCAGCCTTCTGAGGAGCTGGGACTACAGGAATGTACCACTATGCCTGGCTAATTTCTTCTTATATTTTTAGTAGAAACAGAGTTTCACCATGAGTCCAGGCTGGTCTCAAACTCCTGGGCTCAAACGACCTGCTCATCTCAGCCTCCCAAAGTGCTGGGATTACAGGCCTGAGCCACCATGCCCAGTCACTGCAGTCTTTCATGAGCCAAATATAACAGAAAACACTTTGAAATGCCAACATAAGTTGAGCTGATGCATTACAAACCAAATTTTGTCTCTGTGTTTCCATGACATTTTTCTACAGTTTACTAATTCAACCCAACAGACATCAGTTAAAAATATCAACAGACTGTGAGAATAAGACATTTCCTATGACAAACACTAAAAAAGTTATGTTGCATTTGAACATCGACTTCTGAGAAGTTTTAAAGTAAAATGCATATGTTGTATTAACATTAACAAAACTTACATATATATGTTGTATTAATGTAAGAAAAAACCCTGGATTTTCTACCAACGTGTCAGATAACTAGTGCTTTCTTTCTCATACATATTTTGTGTCCACTAAAGATAAATCACCTACCAAGATTATTTTTCTACTTTATTTAATCTCTAATTTTATACCTGACTTAAGAGCAACAACAATTATAAAATTCAAACACTGCAGAAGGAACCCACCACTAGCCACCCACTATCCATCACAATTCTATCAGTGTACCCTGCGTACCCAAGACAATAGCTATGCTTACGACCAGGATTCTAAAATTTAGTTTTATCTGCCCACGCAACATGAAGCCATTTCTTCACATGTACCATTATAGCTTTCTGCCATACTAAGAATACGAACTAACATTTGTATACTTTCAAGTTTACAAAGCATCACTTCCACTTACCCACAGTATCACCATAAAAAGGCTATGAGAAAGTACAGATCACTGTTATCATGCTCAGCCCCAACGTACAGAAGAGGAAAATGAGGCTTAAAGAGGTCAAATGACTTACCCTAGGTTACCCAGCTCATAGCAAGCATAGACAAGGTACAAATTCTGACTTTCAGCACACTAGGGATTGGGGGCAGTGGCTCAGGTCACTGCTGCGGCTCACTCTGTGAGGCCGAGGTGGGCAAATTGTTTGAGCCCAGGAGTTCAAGACCAGCCTGGACAACAGGGCGAAACGCTGTCTCTACTAAAAATATAAAAAATTAGCCAGGCATGGTGGTACAAGCCTGAAGTCCCAGCTTGGAAGGCTGACGTAGGAGAATCACCTGAACCCAGGAAGTTAAGGCTGCAGTGAGCTGTGATCACCCCACTGCACTCCAGCCTGGGCAATCAGAGCAAGATCCTAAGAAAAAAAAAAAACGAAACTCATATCAGTGTAACAATGAATGTGTTTAATGTTAGCGCTAGATAATTCTTGGGGTTACCTTTTCAGTTTCTAAAGTCTCAACATGAATGCCTTTCGGATACCTAAAGAAAAGAAAAACATGGTATCAGTAGATGAGTCAATAACAGCTAAATCCCAAAATATTTTATAAGCAACCATCCAGCTATAAATTAAGTAACGTAAGTTTTATTAACTATGAAATAATTATCACTACAATGAAGACTTCACAGCACATTTATTTTATCACGTTTCAGCTGCTAAATGTTTCCTTACCCTTGCTCTTAAACACATAAACATGGATTTGACTTTCAAATTAATTTTTTTAGGACTTAGGCATTTTCTTTCTTTTTTTTTTTTTTTGAGATAGAGTCTTGCTCTGTCGCCCAGGCTGGAGTGCAGTGGCGCAATCTCGCTCACTGCAAGCTCCACCTCCTGGGTTCACACCATTCTTCTGCCTCAGCCTCCAGAGTAGCTGGGACTACAGGCGCGCACCACCACGCCCCGCTAATCTTTTGTGTTTTCAGTAGAGACAGGGTTTCACCATGTTAGTCAGGATGGTCTCAATCTCCTGACTTTGTGATACGCCCGCCCTGGCCTCCCAAAGTGTTGGGATTACAGGGATGAGCCACTGCGCCCGGCCAGGACTTAGGCATTTTCTAAAATGTCCTACATCTCAAAATACAGTCAACTCATTACCAGAGTCAAATCTTTCTTCCAAATATAAAAATGTTTCCTAACTGAAATTGTGAAAGTCTTATTTTATTTTATTTATTTATTTATTTCTTGAGATGGAGTCTCACTCTGCCATCTACGCTGGAGAACTGACCCGCAATCTTGGCTCACTGCAACCTCTGCCTCCCAGGTTTAAGTGATTCTCCTGCCTTTGCCTCCCAAGTAGCTGGGATTACAGGCATGTGCCACCATGCCCGGCTAAATTTTGTATTTTTAGTAGAGATAGGGTTTCACCATGTTGGCCAGGCTGGTCTTGAACTCCTGACTTCAGGTGATCTGCCCACCTCGGCCTCCCAAAATGCTAGGATTATAGGAGTGAGCCACCACACCTGGCCTGAAAGTCTTTTTAGATTGCACGGGGCATATAAAGAGGAGGTTTTAGATGGCCAAATCTGCTGTAGTTTTGCATAGTATTAACAGTTTGCATCAGCCAACGAGGAGAAGGATGTGGAATGCAGGTGGAGCAGGCTGCAAGGATGACATGACAGGAAAGGAGTGTGGGCAAACTAAACAGCCCTTTCCTATTGTGTTCAAAGTATATTCCCAGTATACATGTCACCAGTAGATTGCAATGGAAGAACAAGGTCCCCAAAGTCAAATGGAAATGTCCACCTGTCTATGTTAATGTTCAATTTCTGAATTGAAGACCCACCTGCAAACACAAGGAAACCAAGGGAAACATCCTTGGAAAAATACACACACAAACGTCTGGATGTTATTTCAGGGGATTCACAGACCTCCTGAAACCCATCCATAGTCTCACCCTAAGTTAAGAACTCTTGCTTTACCAAAAGCATTCATCTGAGTATTTCCTAGGTCTGAAAACCAAATATTCATTGTATACCCCCAAAGGACAAAAACACTACCAATCCATAGCTTAATGGATGCACCAAAGTGATAATTATTTTAAGAAGCCTTAAAGCATCATTAAAAAACAAAAACAAAAGAAAATTAAGTGAGTATTCAACTTAAGAAAGCAGGGGAACTTGGTGGGGTCAAATCACTGAGAACCGCAGAATTTCAAAAAGGAAATGAGAGCTAAGAGATTATATTTAGTCTTTAAATCCTGGGTCCCCCAAAGAACTCCTGCATACAATATACTTACTTCCAGCTCAAAGTCTGATAAATTAGTTTTCTTTGGAACCTATAAAAACAAAAGAAAAGGTATTGATTTTGGTTCATTAGAAGTAAATCCAAACTGATCAAGCATTTGTAGAGAAGGATTTCACTTTAAAAAGAGACTTCATTAGAACTGACAGGTAATTTGCAAACAAAAATAGGCAGGTTATTTGACGTGGGGGGAATTCCTCATCACTTGTCTTCTAAAATTTTCTTTAATATTATACTGCTTTTATTGAAGAGGTAGAAGTTCTTGTCTAATCAAAATATTGCTTCCTGCGGCTGCATAAAGAGAGTTTAAAGTAGACAGATGCATTAAAATACTTTTGTGAAGCTCCTCACAAAGTAAAAGGAAAAAAAGACAATCACGTTACTGACTCTTTGAAATGCTAATGTTTTTTAAATGCAGAGAGAAATTAAAAGGGTAGAAGTAGCCTGAAAGTGAATTCTTTCTTCTGAAGCCTTCATGTACTAAGCACTCCTCAAGGCCAAAGTAATTATGCCACTCTTGGGCATAACTGAAAGTCAAGGTTGCACAACAGTTTTCTCTGCTCCAGGTATAGGACAAAGCATTCATTCAGTGTCTCAGTATACACAGTCATCCCCACTGTGTAACGCTAAAGTTAGTGCTTAATTCTTGAGAACATACCAATAACAAAAAGACCCTTTATAAAGGTGTTTTTAAAAGACTAGATGCATCAAATGCCACAAATCATCTACCTTTCCGAAAAAAGAACATGCAGAAATGTTCAGGACAACTAACCCGGTACATGGCTCTAAATCCAAGTTCTTGTTTTCTTCACTTTGTAATAAATCTTCTATTTTCTCTCTGAAGAATTAGAATAGACCATGACCATCAGTACCTTTAAGGAATTAAGTCATCAACCAAGAAAATAATCACAACCAAAAACAGTCTAAATATAAGAATGTGTGACTGGCCGGGCGCGGTGGCTCAAGCCTGTAATCCCAGCACTTTGGGAGGCCGAGACGGGCGGATCACGAGGTCAGGAGATCGAGACCATCCTGGCTAACACGGTGAAACCCCGTCTCTACTAAAACATACAAAAAACTAGCCGGGTGTGGTGGCGGCGCCTATAGTCCCAGCTACTCGGGAGGCTGAGGCAGGAGAATTGCGTAAACCCGGGAGGCGGAGCTTGCAGTGAGCTGAGATCCGGCCACTGCACTCCAGCCTGGGCGACAGAGCCAGACTCCGTCTAAAAAAAAAAAAAAAAAAAGAATGTGTGACAATGTAATTCTACCAAATTACCCTATAACTTTTAGTTCAAAGACTTTTTTTAAAATGCTTTATTTTGACCTAGGCATAGAATCCCAGCACTCTGGGAGGTCAAGGTTGGGGGAATCACTTGAGCCCAGGAGTTCAAGACCAGCCTGGGCAATATACTGAGAGTCCCTCACTACAAAAAATAAATGTTAAAAATTAACTGGGCATGGTGCAGTGTAACTGTGGTCCCAGCTACTCCAGAAGCTGAGGTGGGACGATCGCCTGAGCCTGGGAAGTTGAGGCTGCAGTGAGCCGTGATCACAGCACTGCACTCCAGCCTTGGCAACAGAGTGAGACCCTGTTTCAAAAAATAAATAAAATGAAACAAAAAAAGCTTTATTTGGCATATTTTGGGGGGAAGAGGGTTACTGCTGTTATTAGTGACAACTTCTCAAGGACTCGTCAGTACAAGTGATTTAATTTTTGACTTTCCCAGTAAAATGGTTACACCAACAACTAAGCTAAGCAAGACCAGACACTTGTCCAAGATCACATCTGCTTGTCAGCACCTTTACTGCAAGCAAAGAGAACACGGACATGCTACAAGCTGGATAAGCCTGATCCACTACTCTGCCTTCAAGGACATCGGACAGTGGCTGTCAGGTATTCAGTCCATGCAAGTTTTAGAAGTCAGCTGATTAGCATTTAAAAAACAAGAAAAGGGGCCAGGCAATGGCTCAGGCCGATAATCTCAGCACTCCAGGAGGCCGAGGCAGGAAGATCCCTTGAGCTCAGGAGTTTGACACCAGCCCAGGAAACACAGTGAGATCCATCTCTATTTAATTAAAAAAAAAAAAAAGTCCATGCAGGTCTGCCCATGTACTGAAATCTCGTGCCTAGTGACATGTAGCAAGTCCAAGTACAATACATGGAACTCTATTTACAATTTGTTGCTGTTGCACAAATTTGAATATGCCGGCTAGGCATGCTGGCTCACGCCTGTAATCGCAACACTTTGGGAGGCTGAGGTGGGCGGATCACTTGAGGCCAGGAGTTCGAGACCAGCGTGGCGAACATGGCAAAACCTCAGCTCTACTAAAAATATAAAAATTAGCTGGGTGTGGTGGCGCACGCCTATAATCCCAGCTACTCAGGAGGCTGAGGCACAAGAATTGTTTGAACCTGGGAGGCAGAGGTTGCAGTAAGCCAGGATTGCACCATTGCACTCCAGCCTGGGCAACAGAGCAAGACTATCTCAAAAATAAAACAAAAAAAAATTTTTTTAATATGCCACAATTACATCCTGCCATTCACAACGTCACACCTGTGTGTGTACTATGTTTGCAAAGCAGAGGTTTGAGATACACATGCCTGTCATGCCCCAATATACAGCATACAGCGCACGCTTAGTTTTAGTTTAGGAACTTACACCACTTGGTCAATAAACTTCTTTTGATCCTCAGGAATCGTGACAGGACATTTTGAAGTGTTAGGTGATACGTAGGACAGAGCTCCTGCACCATTCGCCTGTGAACGTTTTTCATCATACTGCTCTCTTAACTGTCTTTCTTCTTCCTGATTTAAATATGGAATTCCTAAGCATGATTTTAAAAAGAACACATTAGCAGAAGTAGCTGTCTAACATAAAATTTGTTTAACAAACCAAAGAGTCGAAATTACTCAGGAAAGATTTACCATATTTAACTACATCTCAAAAAATGAACAGAAAGGCAAGTGATTTTGAAATGTGTTTATCATTCATCCATTCATTCAGTCTTCTTTCAAGAAATATTTATCTGGAACTTATGCTTTGCCAAAGCATTATATTAGGCACTGGGGAATGAACATCCTTCTCTGTAGTGAAGGGAACTACTTCTGACAAGATAATCAGGAAAGTAAGGGAAAACCCAAAGGATGAGAATAATTCGGATATGAAAGGAGCTAGTGGAAGAATCCTTCGGGTAGGGAAACAAGTATGAATACCCAGAAGATGGCAATGGCTTGGACTATTCCAGGAGCAGCAAGGAGCTGGTGTGGCCAGACGTCATGAGCAAAAATGAAATGAATGGTACAGTATCAGATTGGAGAGAGTATGGAGCAAGATTCTGCAGGCCCTCACAGGCCAGGGTAAGAAATGCACATTATTCTAACAGTGACTGGACAACATTAGAAGATTTTAAGCAAGATAATTACCTTACCTGCATAATGCTTAAAAGGCCATGACAACTACTCTGAGAGTGGAAGTTGGGAAACAAGTTAGGAGCAATTATCCAGGCAAGAAACAAGAGCTGGATCAGAGGTCAGCAAATTTTTGCTTTGTTTTAAGACAGAGTCTTACTCTGTCACCCAGGCTGGCGAGCAATGGCACAATTTGAGCTCACTGCAACCTCTGCCTCCCAGGTTCAAGCAATTCTTCTGTCTCAGCCTCTGGAGTAGCTGGGATTACAAGAGTGCGCCATCACACCAGGCTAATTTTTGTATTTTCAGTAGAGACAGGGTTTCACCACGTTGGCCAGGCTGGTTTCGAACTCTTGACCTCACCGCCCGCCTCAGCCTCCCAAAGTGCTGGGATTACAGGCAGGAGTCACCGCCACCAAGCCCAGCCAGCAAACTTTTTCTTAAAAGGCTTGATGGTAAATGTTTTAGGCTTGTGGGCCATGGGGGTCTCTGTTGCAATAGTCAACCCTGCTGTTGTGGCACAAAAGCAGCCATACACAGAATGTACATGTACAGGCATAGCTGTAGTCCAACAAATCTTATTTACAAAACAGGGAGCAAGCAGTGGGCTGTCGTTTGTAACCCTGGCGTTGACTACAGAGATGGCAGGGTAGATGGAGACAGTGATTTTCTAGACATAAGAGGTAACATTTACTGATACTCTGGAGATGACGGATAAAGGGAAAGGCAAAATCAGGAAAAACACCTTGCAGCCAGGCGCAGTGGCTCATGCGTGTAATCCAACCACTTTGGTAGGCCAGGGCAGGTGGATCACGAGGTCAAGAGATGGAGACAATCCAGGCCAACATAGTGAAACCCCATCTCTACTAAAAATACAAAAATTAGCTGGGCATGGTGGTGCATGCCTGTAGTCCCAGCTACTTGGAAGACTGAGGCAGGAGAATCGCTTGAACCCAGGAGGCACAGGTTGCAGTGAGCCGAGATCGTGCCACCACACGTCAGCCTGGTGACAGAGCGAGACTCCGTCTCAAAAAAAAACAGAAAAAAAAAAAAAAAAAAAAACAAAACCTTGCTCTTCGGTTCAAGCAATTGGGAAGATGGTAGGGCCACTAACTGATGTGAAGACAAAGAGAAGAAAAATAGGTATTGGGGTCCAAGGAGTGAAAATCAAAAGCTACCTTTTGGACATACTATTTTTTTTCTTTTAGGACAAAGTATTGCTCTGTCACCCAGCCTGGAGTGCAATGGCACAATCTCAGCTCACTGCAACCTCCACCTCTCAGGTTCAAGCAATTCTCTTGCCTCAGTCTCCCAAGTTGATGGGACTACAGGCACCCACCACCACGCCCAGCTAATTTTTGTATTTTTAGTAGAGACAAGGTTTCACCATGTTAGCCAGGCTGGTCTTGAACTCCCGATCTCAGGTGATCTGCCCGTCTCAGCCTCTCAAAGTGCTGGGATTACAGGCATGAGCCACTGCGCCCAGCCACGGACATATCAAATCATCTAAGAGTATACACAAATTAAAACTTGCAGTTACAAGCTCAAGAGAAAGGTGTTGAAATATAAATTTAGTTATCACTGGGATATGGGTGGTATTAAAAGCCATGGGGACCAGGCGCAGTTGCTGATGTCTGTAAACCCAGCACTATGGGAGGCTGAGGCAGGCAGATCACCTGAGGTCAGGAGTTCAAGACCAGCCTGACCAACATGGAGAAACCCTGTGTCTACTAAAAATACAAAATTAGCCAGGCGTGGTGGCACATGCCTGTAATCCCAGCTACTTGTGAGGTTGAGGTAGGAGAATCGCTTGAACCCAGGAGGCGGAGATTGCGGTGAGCCGAGATTGCGCCATTCCACTGCAGCCTGGGCGGCAAGAGCGAAACTCCGTCTCCCAGAAAAAAAAAAAAAAAAAACACCATGGGAGGCCGGGAGCCTGGCTCATGCCTATGATCCCAGCACTTTGGGAGGCTGAGGAGGGCGGATCACTTAAGATCAAGAGTTTAAGATCAGCCTGTTCAATATGGTAAAACGCCCTCTCTATCAAAAAGTACAAAAATTTGCCATGCATGGTGGCACGCGCCTGTAGTCCCAGGTACTCAGGAGGCTGAGGTGGGAGAATCACGTGAATCTGGGAGGTGGTGGTTGCAAGTGAGCCAAGATCACGCCACTGCACTCCAGCCTGGGCAACAGGGTGAGACTGTCTCAAAACAACAATAACAACAAAGCCAAGGGACACTAAGGAATTTGTAGAAAGAACAATGAATGCAGAAAACCACCATCTGTCAACGATAATTGCTTAAAGCAAGAATTATCAATGGATGCTAAAACTAACTGGCAAAAAAAGTGGTCCAAGTTAACATCACCAGTAACAGGACAAACGACATCATGTGCCTCCTGGGATGATACACGGAGAAGAACACACACAAAGGAGAAGCAGGGAAGGCAACAGATAGTGAAAAAGCAATGTAAGTCAACAGATTGCTGAAATAGGTACCAGAGCAAGTGAATTAGAAGCACAAGAAGTAGTACTCTCAAAGAAAGAAACATGAAAAACACTAAAAACAATAAATGAGGCCAAGGACAACAGCTCATTCCTATAATCCCAGAGTTTTAGGGGGTGGCAGCAGGAATACTGCTTGAACCCAGGAGTTTGAGACCAGCCTGGACAATATAATGAGACCCTGTCTCTATAAAAAACATAAAAATTAGCTGGGCATGATGATGTGCGCCTACGGTTCCAGCTACACAGAAGGCTGAAGTTAGAGAATCACTTGGGCCGGGCGCGGTGGCTCAAGCCTGTAATCCCAGCACTTTGGGAGGCGGAGACGGGCGGATCACGAGGTCAGGAGATCGAGACCATCCTGGCTAACACAGTGAAACCCCGTCTCTACTAAAAGGTACAAAAAACTAGCCGGGCGAGGTGGCGGGCGCCTGTAGTCCCAGCTACTCGGGAGGCTGAGGCAGGAGAATGGCGTGAACCCAGGAGGCGGAGCTTGCAGTGAGCCGAGATCTGGCCACTGCACTCCAGCCTGGGTGACAGAGCAAGACTCCGTCTCAAAAAAAAAAAAAAAAAAAAAAAAAGAGAATCACTTGGGCCAGGGGGTCAAGGTTGCAGTGAGCCATGAATGTGCCAGTGCACTCCAGCCTGGTGACAAAGCAACACCCTGTCTCAAAAAAGGAAAAAAAAAAAAGATAGTAAATGAGAGGTGCAGTTTTTGACCCTAAGATCCATGACACTGCCACTGATATAGAGGACTAAAGACAGATAGAAACAAAGACTGCTGACCACCTGGTCAAGAAACAGACCAGAGCATTTGCTGGTTATCCTTGAGGATACTAAAGTCACCCAGAGAAGGGCAGGAGTGGAGAGAATGATAACACACCAAGGCCAAGGCTATGATGCACGCTGCGCCTACAGGAATTAGTACAGACAGGCACTGCAGAGCTGGTGACAGCCTGAGAATGCTGGCTCCTGTACAAAAGAAAATTCAGGTGCCAGGCGCAGCAATCACACCTGTAATCCCAGCACTTTGGGAGGCCGAGGCAGGTGGATCATCTGAGGTCGGAAGTTGGAGACCAGCCTGGCCAACATGGAGAAACTGTCCCTAATAAAAATACAAAATTAGCCAGGTGTGGTGGCACATGCCTATAATCCCAGCTACTTGGGAGGGTGAGGCAGGAGAATCACTTGAACCCGGGAGGCGGAGGTTGCGGTGAGCCAAGATCGCACCATTGCACTCCGGCCTGGGCAACAAGAGCAAAACTGTCTCAAAAAAAAAAGAAAAGAAAATTCCGGTGTCTGAAGGTGGCATGGGGAAACAAGGAGGACACCTAGCACAGCCTGGCCAGAGGAAGACAAGAGTGAGAGGGAAAACCAGGGATGGAGAAGGCTACAGGGGGAAACTAACAAGAGGAGTCACCTGGTTTCCTTTCAGACAAGGAAATCAAAGGAACTTGAGAGAAGACTGCTGTAAGGAAAGGGCCTGACATTTACAGAGCCTGAATGGAAAGTCTTGCAAATGGAGAGAGATGAGGGTGTAAGTCAGATTTAGAGCATATCAACAACAGCATGGGATGAGGCTTGGTAGTATGGATGACCTGGGAGTCCTAACTATTGTGATTAAAATATTCCAGGGCATGACTATAAAACAGAAGAAGGAGGCACATTCCAATCTGGCTGTTTCTCTTCTTCTATGAAAAAAAAAAAAAGTTAGAACTATGCATCCATATGAGTACCGGATAAAGTGGTTCCTTCAAGAAATGCTGCCACTAGTCCAATACAATGCTCTAAATGCATTTGGAACTTCTATTTTATAATGGCTTTCAGAGTCAAGTATGAGACTAATAAAAAAAAATTTATTTATAATACCCAAACCATATTGCTCTGCTGGTTCAGTCACTATGTGAAGCAGTTTTGGCTCAAAAAAAGTTTGTTTTCATTACCTCCAAAGATCGAAATCAACAAAAATTAAGATGCAGCACCACTGAGGCAATTAAAAAACAATATGGGCTAGGCCCGGTGGCTCATGCCTGTAATCCCAGCACTTTAAAAGGCAAAGGCGAGTGAATCACGTGAGGTCAGGAGTTCAAGACCAGCCCGGCCAACATAGTGAAACCCCGAACCTACTGAAAATACATAAATCAGGTGTGCGTGGCGGGGTGTGCCTGTGGTCTCAGCTACTCGGGAGGCTGAAGCATGAGAATCGCTTGAACCCGTTAGCGGAGGCTGCGGTGAGTCAACATCACACCACTGCACTCTAGCCTGGAAGTGAGATTCTGTCTCAAAAAAAAAAAAAAAAAACACCAATATGGCATGGGTACTAAACACCTTGCAAAGAGGTTCTGCTGAGAAGAGGAGAATTCATCTGAGGCCCATGTACTTTTTTCTGAGAAAAGTTCAGTTATTCTTGTTGGGATAAACCTCCTTCCCTCCTTCATTCATTAATTCTACAGTCACCATGGGGGGAAAAAAGCAAAATTTATGTAAATAATTTAATTAAAATATTGACCTTGTACATAATACCACTGCAAAAAGCACGGTCTTCCCAAACACTTTTGGAGAAACAAATGAAGAGGAAGGAAAACCAATCTGAAACGCTCTGATGTTCAGTACTCATGCACCCACTTGCATCAAATATTTGGTGATACAGAAAAGAAATCATGCTATGCAAGGGGATGTGAAATGAACAATACACAGTCCCTTCCTCAGGTGCTCCCCAGGCCATCACCCTAGCAAGTTAGCTATTATCAATCGTGCAGTCTCCGTACTTTCCTTCTCTCGTAAGAAATTAAGAAACTGTCTCCAACTATTAAAAAAGCAACAGGTAGGCAGGGTGTGGTGGCTCACGCCTGTAATCCCAGTATGCTGGGAGGCCAAGGCAGGTGGATTGTTTGAGAACAGTAGTTTGGGACCAGCCTGGGCAACATGGCAAAGTCCCATTTCTACAAAAAATACGAAAATCAGCCAGGCAGGCTGGCGCAAAGCTGTAGTCCCAGCAACTCGGGAGGGTGAGGTGGGAGAATCACTTGAGCCCAGCAGGTTAAGGTTCCAGTGAGCTATGATTGCACCACTGCACTCAGCCTGGGCGACAGAGTGGGACCCTGTCTCAAAATAATTCTTGCCAGCAGAGGTGTTACAAAAAACAAACATAAAAAATAAAATAAAAATAAACATGCACTAGCTGGCAAAGAGGGTTTTCATTACAGCATCACTGGAATACAGTACATTTGTAAAGTACACACCTCTTGTTACACTGAAAGAAAACAAGGCAGCATTCCCCAAGGCAATGCTCCCCAAGGCAGCATTCCCCAGTGGTGAGTTAGGCCACTATGTCACACCAGTGGTAGAACAAACAGCACTCAATAAAAACAGGAGTTTGAAGGGCCTTATCAGAGTTAAATGAAGTAGCATCTATTCTGTTCAGCTCATGGCTGATTTTTTTTTTTTCTTCCCCTAAAAGATCACAGTAGGCTGGGTGTGGTGGCTCACACTTGTAATCACAGCATTTTTGGAGGCTAAGGCGGGCAGATCACAAGGTCAGGAGATCGAGACCATCCTGGCTAACACGGTGAAACCCCGTCTCTACTGAAAATACAAAAAATTAGCCGGGCGTGGTGGCGGGTGCCTGTAGTCCCAGCTACTCGGGAGGCTGAGGCAGGAGAATGGCGTGAACCTGGGAGGCGGACCGTGCAGTGAGCCTAGATCACGCCACAGAACTCCAGCCTGGGTGACACAGCAAGACTCCTTCTCAAAAAAAAAAAAAAAAAAAAAAAATCACAGTAAGCAAGTTTTTAAAAATTCTAAGACTGCACATGGCTACACAAGTATGCTGGAACTCTGAGACTGTGTTTCAGCAGACACAAAATAATAATTCTCAACCAAGTCCAGACTTACTTCCTAAGGATACTGTGAAGGTTTATAAGCTCTAAAGATAGGTTACCCGTAATCTTACCATTGCGAAAAACTTTATTAAAATCAAATCCCTGGCTTGCTAGAAAGTCAATGCTGGAGCTCTGAAACAGAGTAAACAGAACACATGTTTTGGGGATGTTAGTGGCAGGAATATAAAGAGATGCAGAGAAGTAACTCAAACAAGAAAACAAAGACAACAAGGCAAGGAAGCAATGTGCCAAAGGTCACAATACAAGGAATTTCTACTCCACAAACAATCCATTAACCACTTAAAACATTTGGGCTTTTCTCCTTCATAGCTTACAAAACAAACATCCTTGGTTTTACAATTTTTTTTTTTTATAGACAGGGTCTCCCTATGTTGCCCAGGCTGGTCTCAAACTCCTGGACTCAAGCAACCCTCCTGCCTCGGCCTCCCAAAGTGCTGGGATTACAGACATGAGTCACCACACCCAGCCTGCTTCATAATATTTTTAAAATATCCATTGGGTAGACCGGCACAGTGGCTCACGCCTGTAATCCCAGCACTTTGGGAGGCAGAGGTGGGCACATCACTTGAGGTCAGAAGTTCGAGACCAGCCTGGTCAACATGGTGAAACCCTGTCTCTACTAAAAACACAAAAATTAGCCAGGTGTGGTGGTGTGCACCTGCAATCCCAGTTACTCAGGAGGCTGAGGTAGGAGAACTGCTTGAGTCTGGGTGGAGGAGGTTGCAGTGAGCCGAGATCGAGCCACTGCACTCCAGCCCAGGCGACAGAGCAAGACTCTGTATATATATTAAAAAAAAAAAAAGAAAACTCCACTGGGTGAACAGATATTCTCCCAATAGGCAGAAAGCTCCTGATCTCTTGACTGTTGTAGTACTGACTAGGAAACTGTAAATAGAACTGAAATGTATTTTATTATCCCATCCCAGGTTCAAGTTTAATGTAGCCTACATGCACAGGTTATAAGACACTGACATCCACCTCAAATTAGATAATGAAAACGCAAAATCTTAATTAAATGTTCTCAATGATCAAGATCAAAAGAGAGGCCAGGCACCGTGGCTCATATCTGCAAACCTAGCACTTAGGGAGGCCAAGGGAGGAAGATTGCTTAAGCCCAGGAGTTCAAGACCAGCCTGGGCAAAACAGTGAGACCCCATCTCCACAAAAAATTTAAAAATTAGCCAGGCATGGTAGCACATACCTGTAGTCCCAGCTACACAGGGGCTGAGGTAGGAGGATCACTTGAGTACAGGAGGTCAGGAGGTTGAGGCTGTAGTGGGCTACTACCATGCCACTGCACTCCAGCCTGAGTGACAAAGTGAGACCTTGTCTCAAAACAAAAAAGATCAAAAGAGAAGCTCCCAATAATAAGCCTTACTAAACAAATATATCTCGAACCTAGCATGAGCCAAAATATGTTCCCAGATTTAAATAAAAACATTAGACTGGGCTGGACATGGTGGCTTACACCTGTAATCCCAGCACTCTGGGAAGCTGAGGTGGTTAGATCGCCAGAGCCCAGAAGTTTGTGTGACCAGTCTGGGCAACATGGCAAGATTCCACCTCAATTAAAAATAACAATAATAAAGTTATTTAAAAGTAAGTATATATTAGGTTGGGTGCAGTAGCTCACACCTGTAATCCCAGCACTTTGGGAGATTGTGGGAGGATAGCTTGAGCCCAAGAGTACGAGACCAGCCTGAGTAACAAAGGGAGACACGTCTCTACAAAAAATTTAAAAATTAGCCAGGTGTGGTGGTTCCCATCTGCAGTCCCAGCTATCCCACAGCTGAGGTGGGAGAATCAAGAAAATCATTTGAGCCCAGGAGTTCAAGTCTGCAGCGAGCTGTGATCGCACCACTGGACTCCAGCGTGGGTAACGGAACAAGACTCTGCCTCTTAAAAAAAAACAAAAAACAGGTTGAGTGTGTTGGCTCATGCCTGTAATCCCAACACTTTGGGAGGCTGAGGTGTTCAAGGCCAGGAGTTCAAGACCAGCCTGACCAACATGGTGAAACTCTGTCTCTACTAAAAACAAAAACAAAAACAAAAAACAGTGGCCGGGCACAGTGGCTCATGCCTGTAATCCCAGCACTTTGGGAGGCCAAGGCAGGCGAATCATGAGGTCAGGAGATTGAGACCATCCTGGCTAACATGGTGAAATCCCATCTCTATTAAAAATACAAAAAATTAGCCGGGTGCGGTGGCGGGCGCCTTTAGTCCCAGCTACTCGGGAGGCTGAGGCAGGAGAACGGCATGAACCCAGGAGGCGGAGCTTGCAGTGAGCCGAGATCACGCCACTGTACTCCAGCCTGGGCGACGGGGACTCTGTCTCCAAAAAAAAAAAAACCTTTGAATTAACAAAACCTTTTGCACTTTACTAGCCACTAGTTTGATTTGTCGTAAATGTAACATTTTCAAGATTGAAGAGTTGAAGCTGGGAGCAGTCTCATGCCTGTAATTCCAGCACTTCGGGAGGCCAAGGCAGGCGGATCACTTGAGGTCAGGAATTCGAGACCAGCGTGGTCAACATGGTGAAACCCTGTCTCTACTAAAAATACAAAAATTAGCCAGGCGTGCTGGCATGCACCTGTAGACCCAACTACTTGGGAGGCTGAAGCAGAAGAATCGCTTGAATTCGAAAGGCGGAGGTTACAGTGACCCAAGATCATGCCACTGCACTCCAGCCTGGGCAACAGAGTGAGACTCTGTCTCAAATAAAATGAAAAAATTCAGGACATGAGAATACGTATTTGGGAAGACAATTTGAGACACCCATCAAAACTTTAAATGCATATATCGTATGTCTCAACAATGCCCCTTCTAGGAAATCTACAATACAAAAAAATTCTTACCTATACAAAAAGATATACTGCACACACAGCAAGTTGACTACAGAATTGCTGATAACCATTGGAAAGCCTCCAAATTTCAATTAAGTAACTGATTAAACAAATTATATGTATCCATACTATGAAATAAAAGACATTCTACTGAGTGGCAAATGCGAGTTGCATAAAATGTGAATATTAGGATTCCACTTATATATATATACATATTTTTAAGACGGAGTCTCACTCTGTCATCTAGGCTGGAGTGCAGTGGCGCGATCTTGGCTTAATGCAACCTCCGCCCCCCGAGTTCATGCCATTCTCCTGCCTCAGCCTCCCGAGTAGCTGGGACTACAGACGCTTGCCACCAGGTCCGGCTAATTTTTTTTGTACTTTTAGTAGAGACGGGGTTTCACCGTGTTAACCAGGATGGTATCGATCTCCTAACCTTGTGATTCGCCAGCCTCGGTCTACCAAAGTGCTGGGATTACAGGCGTGAGTCACCGCGCCCAGCCCATTTTTTTAAATGTAAGCCTGGCACAGTGGTACATGCTTGCAATCCCAGCACTTTGGGAAGCCAAAGTGGGCAGACTGCTTGAGCCCAGGAGTTCGAGACCGGCTAAGGCAACATGGTAAAACCCTGTCTCTACAAAAAAAAAAAAAAAAAAATTAGCTGGGCATGGTGGCATGTGCCCATAGTTCCAGCTACTCAGGAGGCTAAGGCAGGAAGATCACTTGAGCCAGCAAGGTCAAGGCTGCAGTGAGCCAGTTTTGAGAAAGAATTTGACATAACTCAATCACTGTGAAGCCTACCCTCGAGGCTTTCATAACTGCATTACCATTAATCTGCAAGAGAAAGGAAAGATGGCAAGACTCAAATGAATTCATGTTGTTAGTGGGAGAGAAGATAGGATGCAAGATTTTAAATAAGAAAAGATTAAGACTTATTTTTAATCACATAGCCACACACCCATACCCCTTGTTCACATTCTCCTTATTCATTACAACAGATAATCAAAAGAGCAGAAAGGAAAAAGTGATATTTACTGAGTGTCTACCAGGTCAGCTACAACACCTCTAGAGGAAATATCCTAAAGCAGAACCACCCTAATATTGCCCCATCAATTAAGCTCTCTTCTCCTCAAGAGGAAACAGTAGTTTTTTTTCTACCCCCTGTTTCCTAATTAGTGAGCTTGAGAAAAGGAAGTGAGCATAAATAGTTTAACCCCTTCTGGGCTCTCTCTTTTTGGATAGGATACACACATACTCTACTTTTCCAGAAAATAAAGGTCTACACCCTTGGAGTGGATGCGAGGAGAATGAGTTAGGATAGCGAGAAGCCTCCCAGTCTTTATTTTTATTTTTATTTTAAAATAGAGATAAGGTCTCACTATTTTATGCCCAGGCTGGTCTCAAACTCCTGAGCTCAAGTGATTCTCCCATCTTAGCCTCCAAAACTGCTAGGATTACAGGTGTAAACCACCATGTTCAGCCAAGAAGCCTGTAAGTCTTGATGTGTAGGTGGTTCAACTTGGGGGTAAGATAATAAAAATCCCAAATGGAGTTACGAAGCTATGTTCTCAAATTCAGCTTTAGAATTACTAAACCTCATGTTCTCATATCCATCTGCCTGTCTCTGCATCTTATTCCATAATTCATTCTTTTTTTTTTTTTTTTTTGAGACTGAGTCTCGCTCTGTTGCCCAGGCTGGAGTGCAGTGGTGTGATCTCGGCTCACTGCAACCTCTGCCTCCCCGGTTCACGCCATTCTCTTGCCTCAGCCTCCCCCAGTAGCCGGGATTACAGGCACCCATGACCACACTCGGCTAATTTTTTTTTTTTGTATTTTCAGTACAGACGGGGTTTCACCATGTTAGCCAGGATGGTCTTGATCTCCTGACCTCATGATCCGCCCACCCCAACCTCCCAAAGTACTAGGATTACAGGCATGAGCCGCCACACCTGGCCTTCCTTAATTCACTCTACAGCAAAGGAGGAGATAACAGGGTCATTTATTTATTACCCTAAAACTGAAGGTCAAAGGTGAAATGATTTGCCCCAAAGCCCAAAGTTAGTAGTAGAACCAAATTCTGATTCCACATCTTCATGCTGCCTCATCAGCAATTCAGAAAAGAAAAAACTCAATTATGCTACTTACCTGACAAACAAATTTGACATCTGGTGAGGATCTATTGAAGGGTTTCGGGAAAACATAGAAGTTAAATGACTTCGTTATATACCTGGGATAAGATAAAAGGAGACTTAGGAGGTGCCACTGTGTCACAAAAACAGAATTCCCAACGTTTGTTAAAACAACTTACTTTGAATCTGTGTAGTCATACTTAAAAGTGCAAAGGCCAAACTGAAATAGCAAAAAGTCCATGGAATGCTGGAAAAGGGAAATAAAACATGTCACAACAGTGCTGCGTATTTCATGTGAGCATAGCATTCTCAAACAGGTGGGCTTTCTGAATTACTCAATGAGACTTCAGCAGAATACTTCTAAGTAGAACAGATTACACATATGAATCAGAAGCATTACTAATTTGTATACATTTCATAATACTTTTCCCATTTAAGGACCTATTTATCCATCATCCAAAGAATCATATTAGGTCTATTTCCAAATGATTAAAATAACTGCCTCATATTTCCTAGGAATCAAATTAACACTGAAAATGCTAAATCTTCCCCAAAATGTTTTCCAGCAAACAATTATTTTTGCTGTTTTAAATATCATTAAAATAATACTTTAAGGCCAGGTGTGGTGGCTCACATCTGTAATTCCAGCACTGTGGGAGGCTGAGGCAGGAGGATCGTTTGTGGCCGGAAGTTCGAGACCAGACTGGTCAACAGAGTGAGACTGATCTCTACAAAAGAATATGTAAAAAAAAAAAAAAAAAAAAAAAAAAACTGGCTGGGCACAGTGGCTTGCGCCTGTAGTCCCAATTACTTGGGAGGCTGTGGCAGGAGAATCACTTGAGCCAGGAGTTCAAGGCTCCACCGAGCAATGATCATGCCACTGCACTCCAGCCTGGGTGACAAGAGTGAGACCTTGTCTCTAAAACAAGACAAAACAAAAAAATCAATTCATGGCTAGGTTTGAGGAGAAAATACTACACTTACAAAACCTTAATGTACAAGTTTAATAACAATATTTCTCTATCATTTAACATAAGGAAGGCTAACATAAGAAAAAAGATTTTCTAACACATCCACTTGCCTTTTTAAGCTTCTGATACCTTTCTTCTGGAGTGTCAAAACCATTTGTTAATGCAGAGACTGAAGGTCCATCACTGATTCCTAGATTTTAAGAAATAAAAATGTTTAACTTACTAATAAATACTAACGTAAAAATGCCAGTCAACCATTCAGTGCCTCTATAATGTCATATCACGAATTAAGGTTACTTGGAAGCACTCCCTAACTTACTTTTTCAAAATAAGCATTAATTTTGCTGGCCACTAGGTTAAACCCTCTAATAATGAACTTAAGAGATGTGAATGTTTCAACTTGAGAATAGGCAGTTCCAGTGTCTAAAATGTGACTGAAAACACAGTAATCATTTAAGAAAACAACCTCTATGCTTGAATAAATTTTGCTGCTTTAAAAGATTCTTGTATAAGCACACATCAATAAATCCCTAAGTACGTTACTGCCAGAGTTCCAGTCTTGGTCAAGAGTTTGGAGTGGTTAATATCTATACAAAGAATGTATCTTCAAGGTAAAGGGAAAATTATTTCTGGTGAAAACTCTTAGCTTCCTAGGGAAGTGACTCCAACTAGAAACTGCTTAAAGCCAAGGATAATATTTACCCCTGCATGGAAAATCAGACAGCAAAAATGGATATCCACATTAAAGGGAGTGAACCGTTCATATTGACATCGACAATTTTAAAACTAGCCTTTGCTCCCCCTAAAAAAGGGACAAAAAAATTGCAACTTTAAGTGTCAGTGAAGTATTTCCTGTATACACATCTGCTGAGGCAGGCAATGAACACGTCCACTAATGCATAAAAAAAATCTCATTTATCTGCAAAAACCTGACCCTAGCCGGTCACAAAAGGGCAAATATTGTAAGATTCCACTTATATGATATGTCAAGGGCAGTCATATTCAGAGAAAAATGGCGGTTGCTAAAGCCTGGAGGAAAGGAGGAATGCCGAGTTTAAGGTGTAAAGAGTTGCAGTTTGTGAAGATGAAGAAGTCCTAGAAATGGATGGGGATGTTTGCAAAGCAGTGTGAATGTACTTCATGCCACTTAACTGTAAAGTCACTTAAAACGGCACATTCATGTTATATCTATTTTACCATCAAGAAAAAAAAAGTCTGACCCTAATCCTCGAGCTCTCCGCGATGTACATGCCGCACTGTTTTAAGCAGCACCAAAACCATCATCTCTATCTGCAATCCTGAGTGCAATCACAAACCCACGGCATTTCATTTCTTCCGTGCTTTTGAAACGTTTAAAAGGTAACACTGAGACCTGTGAAACCAGCCCAAGGCTACTAACAGCGAGAGGCCACCATCAAGCATAAGAAGTCTGGGGCTGGGGGACTGAAAGAGCCTTGGCTACGCACCGCAAGGCGGTAGCCTGAGCTTGCGAGGGAGGGATACCTGAAAACTCCCCATCGATGGCGAAGAAGTCGGCCTCCTCTATGGCCTGGTACACTTTGTGAAGATTACTCTTAAAATCTGCGGAGAAACCGAAAAGAGGCTCAGAACCAGTGGCCTGAATTCCTGCTAAGGGGAGAGGGAAGGAGGGCCGAGGACCTCCTGAGGCTGAGAGCCGGAAGGGAAAAAGTCTCGGAGGTGTGCACCAGGGCGAAGGTAATGAGGTCCTGGAGGGGTGCATGGGCAGGGGGAACAAGCCCCGGGGGGTGCCCGGGCCGGAGGACAAGGCCCCGAGTGGTGCCGGGATTGGAGGAGTAAGTACAAGGACCCTAGGATGCACGGTCCGCAGCGGGACAGGACCCCTGGAGGCGCACCGGCTTAAGGAGGGAAAAGCCCTGAGGGGCTGCCTCAGCCCCACGCCCAGCCAAATAGGCCGGACATGGTCTCGGCCTAGCAGGCCAGGGATAACGGGGTGTGGGGAGGCGGGGAGGTGCACGGCGAACACGCACTGCTCCTGATTATCTCCATTCTGCAGAGTGGCCGGAACCCCGGCCCCACACGGGCCCGCGCTCGCCTCAGCGGTTCTACTCGCCGAATTCCGCGGCGACCGCGGCAGTAGCTGAGGCAGCACCAGCCGAGACCTCGACAGCCGCAACTTCCGGAAACAGCGCGCGCCTGCTGCGCTTGCGTCAGCGCCTGCGTCGGCGGCGGGGGCGGGGCCAAGGCTGGGCTCCTTTCACTCCTGACAGGGACAGGGGAGGGGCGTGGCTATCGAAGTCCCCAAGGCGTGGCCTAATTTGTGCGGGCATTCACTTTAGTAGAAAAAATGTGCCTGTCTCGACATCCAGTCAACCAGGAAATACTTATTGGGGTTCTACGAAATGCTCGCCACTCTTATAGGGGTGGAGATACAGTGATGAATAGGAAAACGTGCTCTCTGCCCCATTGTAACTTAAACTTGGAGTAAGGGGAAATTCAGGCAGGAGTCAAACTTGCCATTTGGTAACACATGAAAATCGCTATTAAGAAAAAGAGCCGGTGATATAATAGAGAATAATGGGATCTGGGCGCGGTGGCTCACGCCTATCAGCCTAGCACTTTGGGAAGCCGAGGCGGGAGGCTCTGTTGAGCTGAAGAGTTCGAAACCAGCCTGGGCAGCATAGTGAGACCTGTCTCTTAAAAAAAAAAAAAAAAAAAATTAGGCCGGACCGGTGGCTTACGCCTGTAATCTCAGCACTCTGGGAGGTCAAGGCGGGTGGATCAGGAGGTCAGGAGTTCGACACCAGCCTGGCCAACATAGTGAAACCCTGTCTTTCCTAAAATTATAAAAATTGGCCGAACTTGGTGACTCACGCCTGTAATCCTAGCGCTTTGGGAGGCCGAGGCGGGCAGATTACCTGAGGTCAGGAGTTCAAGAGCAGCCTGGCCAAAATGGTGCAACCCCGTCTCTACTAAAAATACAAAAAATTAGCCGAGTGCAGTGGTGCACGCCTGTAAACCCAGCTACTCCGGAGGCTGAGGCGGGAGAATCGCTTGAACCCGGGAGATGGAGGTTGCTGTGAGTCAAGATCACGCCACTGCACTGCAGCTTGGGCGACAGAACGAGACTTCTTTTCAAAAAAAAAAATTAAATTAAATTAAAAGAATAATGGGGGTTGTTACTTAGGTGATCAGGGAAAGCAAAGCTGAGACTCTTAGTTACTGCATTAGCCTCTGGGAATACTATGTCGAGTGCAACACATGAGGGCCGGGACTAATGGAATTGTATGTTGGTTTAGAGTTGCTGTTCTCCAATGCCTAGCACTAGGCTGACACAAAGTACACACTCAATAAGCATGGGTTGAATGAATACATTCAAGTTGGTCTTTCACAAAAGCCAACTATGAAAAAGTGGTTAGGGCCGGGTGCGGTGGCTCACGCCTGTGATCCTGGCACTTTGAGAGGCCGAGGCAGGCGGATTGCTTGAGGCCAGGAGCTCGAGACCTGCCCGGGCAACACGGTGAAACCCCGGCGGCACACGCCTGTAGTCCCAGCTACTCGGGAGGCTGAGGCAAGAGAATTGCTTGAACCCGGGAGGCAGAGGTTGCAGTGAGCCATTGCACTCCAACCTGGGCGACAGAGCGAGACTCCGTCTCCAAAATAAACAAACAAACAAAAAGAAAATTGATTAGAAGACTTATTTTCAAAATCTATCTCAGTCACTTATTAGTTCTGGAATGTATTAAACCATCCTAAACCTCAATATCCTGGGATTGTATTGAGGCTCAGTGGTGCTAATCAATTTGAACTGGGAAGTACCGTATTAATAACTCTGTATAAATAACTGTTTAGTGGGGGCCTGGCGCCATGACTCACACCTGTAATCCCAGAGTTTTCGGGGGCTGAGGCAGGAGGATCACCTGAGCCCAGGTGTTCCAGACCAGCCTGGGGAAGAGAGCGAGAACATGTCTCTATAAAAATAAAATGAAATTTTAAGATGAGTCAGGCGTGGTTGTGCACGCCTGTAGTCCCAACTATACAGGAGGCTGAGGTGGGAGAATCGCTTGAACCCAGGAGGCGGAAGGTGCAGTGAGCCGAGATCGTGCCACTGTACGTCAGTCTGGAGGGCGACAGAGCGAGACTCTGTCTCAAAAACAAATAACAACAACAAAACAAAACCAGATAATCAGCATAAATTCTAGACGCTGTGACCTAGACGCTGGGAAGGGGCGAAATGTGGTGATAAGAAAATCATTTCAAGCTGTACGAGGTGGCTCACGCCTGTAATCTCAGCACTTTGGAAGGCTGAGGCAGGAGGACCCCTTGAGGCCAGATGTTCAAGACCAGCCTGGAAAACATAGCAAGACCCCATCTCTACGAAAAAAAATATTGCAATAGAAATAAAACTCATTTAATTCCGATTCTTAACACCGCAAATTGAGCTTATAGTCCTGTGATCTTCTACACAAAATGTGAAGGCAAAAAAAAACTGTGGAGAGTACAGTGCGGTCTTGTAATATTATTTTAATTTCTAGGCAAAGCTTGTATCCTCCGGATACAAAAATAGCCGCCGAAGAGGAAAAGACACTGACACTCCCGGGTACTTGGTCTGTGGGTGAAAAGGAAGGGGCGGGACCGGCGATGTTACGCATGCGCCCACTTCTTCCAGCTGGGAGTGGCCGCTCTAGGCAGCGGGGAGGTCGCGGGGTTGAGGGAGGTTCTGAAAGGAGAGCGGCCTCTCCTCTATGGTCGCGGGTCCGGAGCACTCTCCCCGCAGTCGGTCTTGTTACTTCCGGTAGCGAAGCCTCTAGTTCTTCCTTTGCTCCCGCGGGCGTCCGGGCTGGGAATAATGGCTCGGTTGGCCCGGGACGAGTGGAATGGTAAGCCGCGACACGGCTGGGGGGTGCTGAGGGGGCGACCCGGGCTTGATTTCGGGGCGTGACGTGGAAACGGAGCGGGAATCCCTTCTGCAGAGCCTCCCCGGCCGGGTCACAGGAGGCGCGCGGGGCCTCTCCTCACGCAGGCCCGAGTCCTGAGCATCCCCACTCCTGGCCGCGGGGTTCGGACCCCAGCTTGGCCAACCGCGCTATCCCTTCCCGAGAGCCCCATGTCCGCACAGCCGGTCCTTGGGCCTCGCCTGCGTCCTTTCGGGGGTCAGGGTCAGAGCCATTCGCTCCAGGGGCTCCCTAGGGCGGGAAGGAGGAGGTGTCGCTTCCAAAAACGTTGGAGGGGGACCTCGGGGCGTCTGCCCGCCAGTAGCGCTTGCCACACCCTGCAGCAGCCCGAGGCTCCTGATAATCGCCACGCTGAGTTTACGGTCTAATTGGCGAGGCATGTTATTGGCCCAGGGCGGAGCGATTGTGCGCATTCTTTAAAGTAAGGTGACCGAAGCGCAGAAGGGAGAAAGTGAAATCCCAAAGTCACGCTGGGGCCAGGCAAGAACTCCTGTCTTCTGATTCTGCGACTTGCGGCTCGGAAATAATTTGTGCAAAAGAGAATTTTCTTTTTTTCGTTTTTGAGACGGAGTCTTGCTCTGTCGCCCAGGCCTGAGTGCAGTAGAGCGATCTCGGCTCACTGCAACCTCCGCCTCCCGGGTTCAAGCGATTCTCTTGCCTCAGCCTTCTGGGTAGCTGGGATTACCGGCGCGCGCAACCACGCCCGGCTGATTTTTGTATTTTTGGTAGAGACGGGGTTTCACCATGTTGGTCAGACACGTCTCGAACTCCTGGCCTCAAGTGATCTGCCCGCCTCGGCCTCCCAAAGTGCCGAGATTACAGGCTTGAGCCACCGCGCCCGGCCGGGAATTTTCTTTTATTAAAAAAGCTGGCGGGAGGGGGCGACAAATGAGAGTCAGGTTGTGTTTAAACGGGGATCCTGTTAAGCCCTCAACTGTCGCCGTTGGGTCCTCCCCGCCGAGGCCCATTGGTCCGTCCTTTGCCAGGGGTGTTCTTGATGTCACTCTCCAAATCGCCAATAGGAAAGAGCTTTACTCTCTTCCCAGGGCACACCCCCGAGCCGGCACGGACTGCACGTGCTGATGGGATTGTTTTGTTTGTTCTTGTAGCTGCTGTTCTGTCAACATCCAGCCTGGGTATATCCTGACAGATGTGCTCTGCTTTTCCCTGTATCCATAAACTTGATGGAAACATTGTATTTCTCCAGGGCAGTTTTGTTTGCTTTTTGGCTCCAGCGTTTGGCAGTGGCACTAAGTAGGTAGCCATCACTGAATAAATGCTGCTGTTGATAATTCTGTTGATAATGCCCATCAGCCACAAAGTAAACTTTGAGTACCTATAGTTTGTCATCTAAACCTCACAACAGGGCGTGGCTCCGCAGCTCACACCTGTAATCCCAGCAGTTTGGGAGGCGGAAGTGGGAGTATCCCTTGAACCCAGGAGACCAGACCAACCTAGGCAACATAGGGAGACGACGCTGTCTCTTTAAAAAAAATTTTTTTTTTTTTTTTTTTTTTTTTTTTTGAGACGGAGTCTCGCTCTGTCGCCCAGGCTGGAGTGCAGTGGCCGGATCTCAGCTCACTGCAAGCTCCGCCTCCCGGGTTCACGCCATTCTCCTGCCTCAGCCTCCCGAGTAGCTGGGACTACAGGCGCCCGCCACCTCGCCCGGCTAGTTTTTTGTATATTTTTAGTAGAGACGGGGTTTCACCGGGTTAGCCTGGATGGTCTCGATTTCCTGACTTCGTGATCCGCCCGTCTCGGCCTCCCAAAGTGCTGGGATTACAAGCTTGAGCCACCGTGCCCAGCCAAAAAAAATTTAAGTAAATCTCCCAACAGCCCTTTGAAATTGACATGATTATCCTAGACGGATCAGTGGGAAATAGGAAGTTTAGGAAGAATAAATTGGGACCCGATTTGGAACCCAGATCAGTGTCACTCCTAAGACCATACTGGTTCAGCTCTACCAGCCTAAGGAAATTATAATCCAGGAGATGAGAAAACATACACAAAGAAAAGTTATGCTAATGCACAGAGACAAGAAAGGTTAATTTGGGTGTTGGGGAGTTAGTCATTAAAGACTTTCAAGTGACAGTTGATTTGGGTCTTTTCAGTTGGATACTTTTGACCCAGCAATGTTGTGAAGCTGTGTTACAGATGAAGGGAACAATGTGAGGATAAGGAAAAATGTCCAAGGCTGGGCGCAGGAGCTCACGCCTGTAATCCCTGCACTTTGGGAGGCCAGGGCGGGCAGA